TCCGGTTATCGAAGGCGAAGGCATTCCTGCAAACCCGAGCTAGTTCCAAAAAGTCCTGCTCAGCAAGGACTGCTCGCGGTGCATGTTCCCCCAGTCAATGCGGCAAGTGCATTGGCGGTAGATTCCAAGGCGGCGAAGCTATCCTTGACCTTTGCACCGCCGACCTCATAGTCACAGCAGCCGGCGTCCTTGACGCATGTCATGTAGGTGGTGAGTGCATCGCAGCCGCTCCCCACAGTGCAGCTGGCAAAGCTCTCCGTGTTGCATCCGCAGCCTTGCAGGACTGCAGCGAGCATCGCCATGACTACTGCTGCCACTGCCCTCGCGAGTGCCATGATGCTGATGCGAGCGGAGCTGATTGCGATGATAGGCTGCGGGCTGCTAAATCTAGGGGCCAAAACGACTGCATCCCAAACATGCTGGCTCAAGCTTCCTTCAGCGACTGCGTTCACACTTCAATCAGACAATCAAGCAAAGTATGCATTTTCAATGACAGAACTTCAAATGCTCTGATCAGATCTCAAAATTTCCCCCCTTGCCCTGATCAATAATGTTAAGCATAAGCGCTGCGCCGACATTGCAACGCATGGCGCCAAGCTTCGCGTTGGGTAGCAGGAAATGGAACTCAATCTCCGGTTATCGAAGGCGAAGGCATTCCTGCAAACCCGAGCTAGTTCCAAAAAGTCCTGCTCAGCAAGGACTGCTCGCGGTGCATGTTCCCCCAGTCAGTGCGGCAAGTGCATTGGCGGTAGATTCCAAGGCGGCGAAGCCATCCTTGACCTTTGCACCGCCGACCTCATAGTCACAGCAGCCGGCGTCCTTGACGCATGTCATGTAGGTGGTGAGTGCATCGCACCCGCTCCCCACAGTGCAGCTGGCAAAGCTCTCCGTGTTGCATCCGCAGCCTTGCAGGACTGCAGCGAGCATCGCCATGACTACTGCTGCCACTGCCCTCGCGAGTGCCATGATGCTGATGCGAGCGGAGCTGATTGCGATGATAGGCTGCGGGCTGCTAAATCTAGGGGCCAAAACGACTGCATCCCAAACATGCTGGCTCAAGCTTCCTTCAGCGACTGCGTTCACACTTCAATCAGACAATCAAGCAAAGTATGCGTTTTCAATGACAGAACTTCAAATGCTCTGATCAGATCTCAAAATTTCCCCCCTTGCCCTGATCACTAATGTTAAGCATGAGCGCTGCGCCGACATTGCAACGCATGGCGCCAAGCTTCGCGTTGGGTAGCAGGAAATGGAACTCAATCTCCGGTTATCGAAGGCGAAGGCATTCCTGCAAACCCGAGCTAGTTCCAAAAAGTCCTGCTCAGCAAGGACTGCTCGCGGTGCATGTTCCCCCAGTCAATGCGGCAAGTGCATTGGCGGTAGATTCCAAGGCGGCGAAGCTATCCTTGACCTTTGCACCGCCGACCTCATAGTCACAGCAGCCGGCGTCCTTGACGCATGTCATGTAGGTGGTGAGTGCATCGCAGCCGCTCCCCACAGTGCAGCTGGCAAAGCTCTCCGTGTTGCATCCGCAGCCTTGCAGGACTGCCGCGAGCATCGCCATGACTACCGCTGCCACTGCCCTTGCGAGTGCCATGATGCTGATGCGAGCGGAGCAGATTGCGATGATAGGCTGCGGGCTGCCAAATCTAAGGGCCAAACGACTGCATCCCAAACATGCTGGCTCAAGCTTCCTTCAGCGACTGCGTTCACACTTCAATCAGACAATCAAGCAAAGTATGCATTTTCAATGACAGAACTTCAAATGTTCTGATCAGATTTCAAAACTTCCCCCCTTGCCCTGATCAAAAATGTTAAGCATGAGCGCTGCGCCGACATTGCAACGCATGGCGCCAAGCTTCGCGCTGGGTAGCAGGAAATGGAACTCAATCTCCGGTTATCGAAGGCGAAGGCATTCCTGCAAACCCGAGCATGTTCCAAAAAGTCCTGCTCAGCAAGGACTGCTCGCGGTGCATGTTCCCCCAGTCAATGCGGCAAGTGCATTGGCGGTAGATTCCAAGGCGGCGAAGCTATCCTTGACCTTTGCACCGCCGACCTCATAGTCACAGCAGCCGGCGTCCTTGACGCATGTCATGTAGGTGGTGAGTGCATCGCAGCCGCTCCCCACAGTGCAGCTGGCAAAGCTCTCCGTGTTGCATCCGCAGCCTTGCAGGACTGCAGCGAGCATCGCCATGACTACCGCTGCCACTGCCCTTGCGAGTGCCATGATGCTGATGCGAGCGGAGCAGATTGCGATGATAGGCTGCGGGCTGCCAAATCTAAGGGCCAAAACGACTGCATCCCAAAACATGCTGGCTCAAGCTTGCGTCAGTGAAGTTGTTAGGCTGGGAGTCTTGGGGCCATCTGGGAATGCCGGCGCTGCAAAGGGTGCACCAGTTCGGCGCTGGCGGCTGGAGCGCTGAAAGACAGAACCCAGGTTGATGCACCATCTCCTTTTTGTGTCCACTGAGATACACTTCGCTATCTCTGTCACATCCTGCAATGCCTCTGGCATTTGGAGTCTGTGACTTGGCAGCAAAGTTGTGAGCTGTCCAGTTCTAAGAGGGTTCGTACCAATGTGCTGATGCTCTCGCGACGTGATGGCTGTCCTGCTCTCATAACGGGCATGCATTTAGTGCACTTCGGTTCTGGGGGAAGCCGTGTTTAAGCTTTGTATGCCTCTTCGTCTTCGTCGCAGACTCCACGACTACTCGACAGACACGTCACAAAACATGACGTGTGTGAAACCGCAGGAACAAGCTGCTGTAGCAAAGAGGAAGAATCATTTCTCTCTCCTCACATGTTCTGAACAGGCTAAGGCTCGCCCTCTACCATGGTTTCAAGCTGCTTCGCTAAACGTTTCAAAGGTTCCAACTGGTTCCCAGTCTGGTGCAGTACGCCTCACCAATCGTGTTCAAGCAAAGCCCGCAACAGCCCGGAACCAGTGTTGTGTGGGAACGCCTCCATGAACAAGTTGGTTCACAATTCGTGGAAGCCAGGAAGGGTCTCGGGCTCCTGCTCCACGGCCTCAACACGTGAAAAAGCTTCCGACTCTGATGCTTGGGTAGGAAGCTACACACTTTTGAGAACGCGAAAGCCTAAACCCCAAAACGCAGAAAAAAACAAAATGACGGAGTGGGGACTGGAGAAATCTTTGGTCTCGGGGCCAGTCTTCAGGCCAGCCTTCCTCACACGTTGTCGGGGAGGGGCCAGCAGTGGCTCAGCTTCTGAGACCCTATCAGGATGACAACATGGCCAGAAAAAAAAACCTGAACAGCCCTGAAGCCCACTCCATCACGCCTTGCCCAAGCCGGGCAGGCTGCGCCCCGGCACCGGAACAGCCTCTCCAAGTGATGCCCACCGATGCCCCGGTGTGCATCTCAGGCTCCATGGGGCTGGGGTGCTGGCCTTCTTGCCCCTGAAGCCCAGCGGGTTCAGATCCTTCTCCCGGATCTTGCTTCGGGCCTCCAGGGTCTTATGATATGATAAGCTTTGGGAATGAGTGCACGGAAAACTCATCAAAAAGACTGCAAATTGACAATCAAAAAACTTACCACCAGTAGTAGTAGTAGTAGTAGTAGTAGTAGTAGTAGTAGTAGTAGTAGTAGTAGTAGTAGTAGTAGTAGTAGTAGTAGTAGTAGTAGTAGTAGTAGTAGTAGTAGTAGTAGTAGTAGCAGTAGTAGGAGTAGTAGTAGTAGTAGTAATAGTAGTAGGAGTAGGAGTAGTAGTAGTAGGAGTAGTAGCAGCAGTAGTAGCAGTAGTAGCAGTAGTAGCAGTAGGAGCAGTAGCAGTAGAAGCAGAAGTAGCAGTAGTAGCAGTAGTAGCAGTAGTGTAGTGCTAGTAGCAGGAGTAGCAGCAGCAGTACTCGTACTACATAGTACCCTGCCCCCCTGCCTTCCTCCCCTCCCCCCCTCCCTCCCTCCCTTCCTTTGTTTCTTGCTTTTCTCCATCCCTCTTACGTTCAGTCCTTCCTTCAGATCTTCCCTTATTTTCTCGTACCGGGGCTTAAAAACAGGACACGTGTTTCTTGTTTGCTGAAAAGCTTCTTGCTTCTCATCCCTGAGTCCAATCATGTGCAATCCCTAAACTCTAAACCCTACACCCTACACCCTAAACCCTAAACCCGAAAACCCTAAAACCCGCCTTCAGGTTCAGGTTCGGCATGCTCATTTCCGGGAGGAGCGTCACGGCGGAGACCTCGTGATCGCCAGAGGAGGGTCAGCACATGGTCAGACGCACATGGAGGTTCCGACAATAGGGAATACCCTTTTCTGGGTTCCTTTAGAAGGATTATATGTCATTTTGGGGCCTATAAGCCCGAAACCCTATTGCGGCAATCCCCACATTGTGCTGCAAAGACCTCGAAATGCGTGCTTCTGAGTGTCGTGGCGACATGTGTAGGAGATGCTGCGCAACGTGTCTCTCACACGCTTGCGCGCACAAGCGCAGACGTGCTGGTCCAACAGGACCGACATGGGGAAATGTTGGAGTACGGAAATCAAACATGGCAAAAGCCCGCGCTGCATCAGAGCTCGGGAGGGGGCCCTTCCATGGAGGTCGATGACCGGAAACAGCGTCCGGCGAGGGCCCAGGGCCTCTGCGCTGACTTTCATGGCTTCGGCTTTGGCTTGGCTTGGACGGGAAGCCCCGGCGGTCTCCTCTCCGATCTTACAGGGGCACCTGCTGGGGGGGGGGGGGAGGGCTTGCATCTGCACAAAGAAAGTCCACTACATAGGGCTGATGAAATCTTGGGCGGATTCCCCTCAAGCACAACGAGGGCATTGGCTCAAAGCATCGCCCGAACCTTGCAACCCTAAATCCTCAACCCCCTGCGTGTGCCTTTCGACGCGGATTCAGCTCGTTTCGGTTCCCCTCTGTGAGGCTGGTCACCGTCCTGAGGACCTCTTGAAGAGACCCCGGGATTTTAGTCTAAAGCCCTATCATGTCAGCAGCCCTGTCTCAGAGGGCTCTGGTTGACTCACTTGGTCGCCTATGTTGACCATGTAGAATGCTTCTGAGCTGATTTGCAAGAACCGCTGACATCTTCAACCGAACGGGGGACGGGCGAGGAACCAGAAGCAGGATGAGCAAGCTCCATGCCAGGCCTGCTCGCCGTTCACCCACACGACAAGATCTCCCAGCGGATTGATGTGAACTCCCACCTCAAAAGCGGCAAGGAAGTTCTTGTGGCTGCCGGATCCTTCCTCATTCAACAATCTCGCCTCCACCCCTCTCACTGGCCACAGCCCCTAAACCCTTAAACCTTCTTAAACCCGAAACCCTGAACCGCAGAAAGCCCCGAGAAGCCCGCCACGTCACCAACGACCAGGGACTTCGGATCCCAGGCACTTTGGGTGAACCATTCGCCACCTCGGCAGTTTCCCAAGGCGAAAGCGTGTGTTTCGCGGGCCGACGGAAAAATCGGAGGGCAAAGAAACAAGATCTGATTCGGAAACCAGAAGCGGAGAAATCTCCGACGAGGTGTGAGTCGCAAAGCAGAACAGCAAAATCAGATACACGAGCTGATTCGGAAACCAGAAACGGAGAAATTGAAACCAGGTGTGGATCGGAAACCAGAATGGCAAAATCAGAAACCGGATGAATCGGAAACCATGACGGGACAATCGGAAACTGGGAAAGGGATGATTCGGAAACTCGGAAAGCGGATGATTCGGAAACTTTCAATCAGGCTAAACCCTAAACCCTAAACCCTAAACCCTAAACCCTAAACCCTAAACCCTAAACCCTAAACCCTAAACCCTAAACCCTAAACCCTAAACCCTAAACCCTCCCCCCTAAACCCTAAACCCTAAACCCTAAACCCTAAACCCTAAACCCTAAACCGTGGCAAAGGGCAACTCCAAATCGTGGCCACCTTCCTTGATCGCCTTCCCCCCCCCCCTTTCCCCACCCGGTTCCAGGCTGTGGGCTCCTCCCACAGAGACAAGCCAACCCCTCCGGTTTAGGGTTTAGGGTTTAGGGTTTTGGGTTTAGGGTTTAGGGTTTAGGGTTTAGGGCTGCCTGGGACCCTCAGAACCCGGGGACCCGCTACGAGCGCCACCCCTACACCACTGCAACCCCTCCCCTTGCAACTCCCCTCTTCTGCCTGGCGTTGGCTGCCGAGGCAGAGCGCGCAAGCGCATACAATTAGCCCCAAGTCTGTCACGTAATGACTTTCGCGAACAAGTTGTGTTACATCTTTTGCCTCTTCTTGCTGTGGACATATATGGGTGAGTTCATGAGGTGTTTCAACGATTACAGACTTACTGTCACAATCTTTAACAGGATGGCTTTGTGGAGGACCTTCGACTTCCGAATCCTAATCCAGCATTGCAGATGTACTTTGTTTTGATCTTATATACTTCATTTACATGTTTTGCTTCGGAGCGAATCAGACTGATCTCAATTGAATCTTCAAATACTAATCCTTTACGGAATTCCAATAAACAACAAGCTTAACATTTTCATCACCGCATGATCTCCTTCTCTCCTTTCTCACATTCGGATAATGCAGTAAGCTCCTTTGCCACAAAACAAAACTTCAGGATTCATTAATGGAATTGTTTCTATCTTAATCCTGGATTCATGAGGAGTCTTTCAATGTCGTTCTAGAACCCCATCTGCACCAAGGAAATCCTGGAAGCCCTACCCTAAACCTCCATCAACGTGGGTATTTCCCACCATAGACCGAACATACCCCTCAATGAACCAAAACTCTCTTTGTAAGGCCCCCGCCCCCCCGCCCCCCCCCCCCTCCCGCCTCCCTCCCTCGTCCCTCCCAAAACGAACAAAACATGACAAGAGGCACGCCTAATTCTGCAGCCCTAAACCCTGAACCTCTCTTAAAACACGGTCCCTTTGTGGGTCCTATATGAAATAACACGATACGGCACCCTCTATAAAGAGCAACCCCCAATAAACCCTAAACCCTGAACCCTAAGCCCTAGACACTTCGGAAGACTGCCCACGCTCTCGCCAGGCTTTCTGGGTCCGCAGGCTGTCGACGATGTGTCTGCCGTAGCCGACGAGGATGGTCCCTGCCAAGGCTGGTTAGGGTTAGGGTTCAGGGTTTAGGGTTTAGGGTTTAGGGTTTAGGGTTTCGGTTTCAGGGCCCCAAAATCTTACTCATGATGCTTCTCCGGATCCGGTTTGCTTACGAGTCCAGCGATCAGGGATGTGCAGTTTCGGGATTCAGGGTGGGAAGGGGGAAGAGGGATTTAGAGTTTAGGGTTCAGGGGTTGTGGTTGCGAGGTCAAGGTTTGTGTGGGATGCAGGGTTCTACCTTGTTCAGGAGATGTGTTGCAGAAGACTTCTCTCAAACCTGACAAAAGCTGAGGGAGTTGGGTTTATAGGGCTCCCGGCCACATGCCAAGCAGACTGGCTTTAGTTTTTTCGTCGCCGGTCCCGCATCCTAATGTCATGCTCTCTCTCTCTTCGCGTCCTGCAGTTTTGTGCGTAGGCAGTGTGAGATGCCTGATCAGACTGGCTTCGGCATGTTCATTTTTCGGACAGCAAGTGGTGAAGTAAATCACAAAGAGCCCGGAGGAGGGTGTCCGGGAGGGGGTTGCAAGGGGATGTTCCCTCAAAAGGCAGCTTGAGGGCTTATGATGGGCATAACAAGGCTTTTGTGTTCCTTAGGATTACAAACAAGCCACACTCTCGCTCTGTGCTATGGGGTTTAGGGTGTAGGGCCCCCCCACCCCACACACTGAGCCCCAAAACCAGAGCGCTTTCGGAATCATGGTTGGTTTTTGTGCCTACGAGTACTAAGCTCCAAGCTTTAAAATCATTTCAAATCCCCAAGGCATCCTAAAGCACCGAAGCCCCAAAAGTGCGAACGACAACTTCGGAGGACCTGGGATTTCGTAGGCGTACATTGACCGTATCCCTAGCCTTGGAGGAGGCGAAGAGAATTCACACGTGTATACATTTATGTACATGTAGGTAGATATGTTCTATGAACATAATATGACATAGATCATGCACATATTGCGCATACATGTACATACATACAGACATACATACATACATACATACACACGCATATATATATATATATATATATGTATATGTATACATATATATGTATATATATATATATACATATATGTATATATATGCATGTATATATATATATACATATATATGTATATATACATATAAATATATATGTATATAGATATAGTTATGTTTCATGTGTATATGTATATGTACATATATATATATGTATATGTATATATGTACATATGTACATATGTACATATGTATATATGTATATATGTACAAAGGTACATATGTACATATGTACATATGTATATATGTATATATGTATACATGTATATATGTATATATGTATATATGCTCTGCCCACGCAAGGCACTGACTGTGCTTGTCCAAGGTTTAGGCTTCTGATGGGTTTAGGGCGTTCTTCTCTCCAGGACTCCACGTGCACTTCATGCCCTAAACCCGAAACCCCAAAACCCCAAACCCTAAACTTTAAACCCTTGCTGCAAGGTCCCCAACAGGCTCAGCAGCCCAAGCTGAGTTTGCTGGCTTGTGCCCACCCGGAAGGTGTGAGACGCCGAAGGCCAGGGACATGTCGCGGAGCGAGTCGAGCCTGCCATGCCAAAGAGCGGTTTAGGGTTTAGGGTTTGGGGTTTAGGGTTTGGGAACTGCGAATTTCTGCGCAGGGTCGCGCTCTAACATGCGACGAGCTTCTCCGACGTTTGTTACTTGAGACGTGCACCAGAGGCCAACAGGATCGGCCCATCCCCCCCACCCCCTCTTACCCGAAAAAAAAAACACGCAGGGGAGCGGGTTTTAGGGTTTAGGGGACTCCTGTTACAATAGGCCTTTACAGTTGGAACTCCGCAGCCCTCCCAGAGAGATTGAACCCATCAGGGCGAAGGCTTCTTTAGTTCGTGGGAGGTCAACCATTTTTTGCAGTGCTTGTGAAACCGGCTGCACTCAATTGCGCCACGCCTGCGTGAATTGTCATCTGTGTCTTGCAAATTTGGGGGTCTCCGAAAATAGGGGTACCTTATTGGGGTGCTGATAAGGGCATGCTACTATTTGGAGGTCTATATTGGGGGTCCCTGATTTTCGTAACCCTGAAGGACTGAGAGCTGCACGGAAAATGCTCATCGTCCACAGCGTCGATCTGCATGAACATGGCTCTACTTGGAGGTTCATGGGTAGCTATAAGTGAGGTATTTCGTTACCTTCAATTACTGGCTTGGCGTGGGAACAATGGTAGACAAGGTGGGAGGCAAGGCACTGACATGGTTGAAACACTTAAGACTCGAGGCACAGAGAGTGACAAGCCGACCCTAAACTGCCTTGAATGCGTAGAAGTACCCGGTGCACAAAAGGTGGCTGCCACTGAAGAGCCGCATGAAGCCGTTCCCATAGACAACGCCACCTGTCGCAGAAATTTTTGCGGTGGCTCCCCGACATCTAAGGCGGGAATCATCTTCTTAGCCGATATTGTAAAGGCCTGGCGACTGCCCACACAGCAATGCTCTAGAACTAGACGCACATTCATGCTCTACTTTGAAGGTTCACCGGGGGGTGAGGTTATGAATAAGGCGGCATCTACCGTACAATGAAAGAAAACGACGACACAAACTTTACAACTGCCTGTGAACCTTTCAAGTGATGCCCACAAGTGGGATTGACCTAGATTTTTGTAGGATGACCTTCGCAACTATTTTGCAATACTTTGTGGAAGTTTCAGGGGACCCTTCAGAGTTCCCGCAAGAACATTTGGATCCTGGCGAGGTTAAGCGAGTTTGCTGGAGTGTAGAGCCTGACCCCAAACCCCAAACCCTAAACCCAGCTTGCAGGATCGCTACTGAGCAGAACCATGCAAGCATCTATGATCCGCGACCGGCGCGAGTACTTGCATCAACCCTCGTCACTTTGCGTGGAGCCCTGTAACCCTACTTGGAGGTTCATGGGTAATTATAAGTGGGGTATAAGTAGGGTAACTATACCTATAACTGGATATAACCTTGTTCAGGGTACTTAAATAACCCTACATACAACTGCCCATGAGCCTTCAAGTAAACCTAAACCCTAAACCCTAAACCCTAAACCCTAAACCCGAAACCCGAAACCCGAAACCCGAAACCCTAAACCCAAGCCCCCGAGCCTGCTGCCAGATCCGAGTCCCTACGGTGCGCGCGGAGGTCACGCTGGGAGATGTGGATGTTCCAGCTCCTCCGAGCTTCCACGGTTTAGGGTTTAGGGTTTGGGGTTTGGGGTTTGGGGTTTAGGGTTTAGGGTTTGGGGTTTAGGGTTTAGGGTTGGACCATCGAGGCTTCTGGGATGCCTGGGCTTTGATTCATCTTTGCAGGCCTTTGGCAGCGTGATGTACCCGGGTGGCGACGAAAGGTAATTGGGGGCATGGTTCTATAAAATTTAAACTAACTAGAGTCTCTGGAGGGGTTTAGGGTTTAGGGTTTAGGGTTTAGAGTTCAGGATGAGGCGGCGTGGGTGGTTCGTGCAAGGCTCGCAGTTTAGGACCATGATGCTGGGGAGCCTTTTTTGAAGCGATGAGGCAGGCTCCTGCAAGTTTCAGCACGTGAATGCAACGGCACCCAGGGGTATGCAACTCCAAATTTAAAAACCAGCAGCCTTGCGTTCATCAGCTACAATGGCTACAACGCGCCCAGAAGCATTAAAATAGTTCCTGCTGTGCAGGAGGTTCAACTCAGGGCCCCACAAGAGTCAGAACAGTAATAACAACAGTAACAAACAAACATACGAAAACAAAAACTGCATAATATTAAAAGAACAAAGAGAGCTCCGTGGGGCCCAGGGACCGTTCGTTCAAACGCTGGGCCGCTGCTGGTGAGACGGAAAATTTGCTCTCTTCGCCTGGGGTTTAGGGTTTAGGGTTTAGGGTTTAGGGTTTAGGGTTTAGGGGGCCTTAGAGCAGTGCGCTCCCAAGTCTGACTCACACCGCCCCCGAGGCCCGCGTCACAGCTCCGAGGTGTCCTCTGCTTCTAGGAATTGGGGCTGTTCCCATTTTATACTAAGAGTTGGGGTTTAGGGTTTAGGGTTTAGGGTCCCCAAGCCCTACCCCCCCAGAGCACTCTGGTCCCCGCCGACCTTGCGCCGATGTCTGCACCTTTCTTCCAGCCCGCCGTCATCGTCCAGGCAGTCGGCCCATGCCAAGTCCGGGTGGTAAATCTGGGAGGTTTAGGGTTTGAGGGCGGTGCGCTGTGGGGCCTGTGTTTTTTTTTAGTGTTTTTGCAGGGCACAAGTGTTTATATAGCAGGTGTGCATGCACATGACACTCTTTATCCTGGATACTCTATATTTACAAGCACGCGCGCATACACAGGATAATCATTTAAAGCCTTTAAATTCCTTTAAAACCTTTAAAATTTAATTGGAGAGGCCTTCAATTAAATTTTAAAGGGGAGGGCCCCCTTTAAAATCTTTAAAATCTCCATTTAAATTTAAAAGGTTTTAACGGTTTTAAAGCCTTTAAATTCCTTTAAAACCTGTAAAATTTATTTGGGGAGGCCCCCAATTGAATTTTAAAGGGGACGGGCCCCCTTTAAAAATCTTTAGAATCTTTAAACTTTAATTGGACCTCCATTTAAATTTTAAAGGTTTTAAATGAATTTAAAGGCTTTAAAAACCTTTAAAACCTTGAAAATTTACATGGAGGTCCAAATAAATTTTAAAGGTTTTAAAGATTTTAAAGGGGGCCCACCCTCTTTAAAATTTAATTGAGGGCCTCCCCAAGTAAATTTTATAAAGGAATTTAAAGGCTTTAAAACCTTTAAAACCATTTAAATTTCAGTGGAGGTCCAATTAAATTCAAAGATTCTAAAGATTTTGAAGGGGGGGCCCGCCCCTTTAAAATTTAATTGAGGGCCTCCCCAAGTAAATTTTAAAGGTTTTAAAGGAATTTAAAGGCCTTAAAACCTTTAAAGCCATGTAAGTTTAAATGGTGGTCCAATTAAATTTTAAAGACTTTGAAGATTTTCATGATTTTAAAGATTTTAAAGGGGGCCCGCGCCCTTTAAAATTTAATTGGACCTCCATTTAAATTTTAAAGGTTTTAAAGGAATTTAAAGGCTTTAAAACCTTTAAAACCTTTAAAATTTCAATGGGGTTCCACTTAAATTTTAAACATTTTATATCCAGGCACCTGGGCGAGGAGGGGGGGGGGGGGAGGGGGGGGGAGGGGGGGGGGGGGGGGGGGGGGGGGGGTGGGGGGGTCTGGGTGGAAGGCCCCACGCTCACACCCAAGACCCCCCCACCCCCCCCCCCCCTCCCCCCCCACCCACCCCCCCCCACCCTAAAAATGAACCATAAGAAATCAAGTTAACCTTACCTAACCAGTAACGTATGACAGTCAACCACGCCCATCTAACCTTAGTATAGTTCAACTACTTAACTTCGCCCATCCAACCTCAAACAACGGAATCTTCAACGAAGAGCCCCCCCCCCTCCCCCCCCCACCCCCAAAGAATCAATGCTTATAAGCAAGCCAACTGCTTATAAGCAAACCCTTCCTCTACACAAAAAAACTCTATAAAAATGAACCATAAGAAATCAAGTTAACCTTACCTAACCAGTAACGTATGACAGTCAACCACGCCCATCTAACCTTAGTATAGTTCAACTACTTAACTTCGCCCATCCAACCTGACACAACGGAATCTTCTGCAAAAACACTAAAAAAAACGCAGGCCCCACAGCGCACCCTTCTGTAGGGTTTAGGGTTTAGGGTTTAGGTTTAGGTTTAGGGTTTAGGGTTTAGGGTTTAGGGTTAGGGTTTAGGGTTTAGGGTTAGGGTTTAGGGTTAGGGTTTAGGGTTTAGGGTTAGGGTTTAGGGTTTAGGGTTTAGGGTTTAGGGTTTAGGGTTTAGGGTTTAGGGTTTAGGGTTTAGGGTTTAGGGTTTAGGGTTTAGGGTTTAGGGTTTAGGGTTTAGGGTTTAGGGCTACTTGAAGGCTCATGGGTAGTGATGAGCAGGGTTATAAGTACCCTAAACAAGGTTCTGACTATAAGTTTCGTTACCCTCAAAATAGAACTACTCATGAACCTCCCAGTACACTGCACCGAACCTCATTCAAATTAAATCTCACGCGTCGTCACGCTTTTAGGCATGCTCTCAGAAACTTGTCTTAAAAGGTCCATCCGGCCTCGGTGGTTTAGCACCACCTTGCAAATACCCCGAGCCACTAGAGGCCACCAGCCTTGATCTCGAGGATGGTTCTCGGTTCATCTGTGGCAGCGGTCGCCAGGCCTGGGATCCCGTCGGCCTACATTGTACATTCCGGCAGACCACCGTGATGACCTAACTTTTAAATCCCTGCCACACTGCGACATCTACTTGACACGAAGGCAGCCAGAAAGAGGTTTGCCCTGATGCCAAGAAACGATGGCCGTAGCTGTCATCCAGCAAGAAGCAGTGCCCTGGGCATACGGCAGGGCAACACCCATTGTAGCGATTCGGTGAACCCAGCTTCACGTAAACATGACGAACCCACAGCACGTTTTTTTCCCCCAGTAGAAACTGGTGATCTTGCAATGCACGCATGCACGAAGGCTTGATATACACCTGAAGTGTTGGGGCTGCGGCCTCGACGCCACGTCAGCTCCTTGTCTGCGATGTACATGGTCACGTTGCCTCAGGAAAATCGCTCTAAGATTCTTTTAGCTTGGAGGACCCATCCATTTCTCAGACCGGGCTGCTGGGGTTGTGCACGCCGCAGTGGATCCTTGATTTTTCGCTCGAGTGCTGCTTACTGGGCCTAGGGCTTGAGACCCTAAACCCTAAACCCTAAACCCTAAACCCTAAACCCTAAACCCTAAACCCTAAACCCTAAACCCTAAACCCTAAACCCTAAACCCTAAACCCTAAACCCTCAACCGCAGCAATGGATCTTGATGCGCTGGTTGGTGGCCGACGTGTGCTCCATGACCTTTCGTGCAAGCCGGCGTTAGACAAGCATCAGACATTCTGCCAGAAAAAAATCAGGAAATAAGGAAAAGAGACGCACACACACAATGGGGAGACTTACACGCCCAACACCCCTCTGAGAAGTGCCTGTGGCATTTGGGGCTGGGCTTGATTTAGCCTCAAGCCTTCGTTTCAGCAGCCTTGACCTTTCTTCTGCATGCTGAAGGTGTAGGATGAGCTATCGCGAACCCAGAATGATTCCCCCCATCAAACTGAAGAACTGAGGCCAAGCAACTGCGTAGGGATAGTCTGGTGGCCCGTAACAAATCCTGTGAAACATTATTTCAAGGCTTTGCTTGCCCTGCTCGTTTGGTGGGTGTCGTGTAGAGCATGTAGAGCAGGAAGAATCATTGGGCACTTCTTGAATTCTGGCCGTGGGGCCTCCGTGTTGGGGTTCATCCGCGAGAAGCGGGCCGAGAGGAGGGCTTCCCTCGTTGGCCAGATGGCCTGCACATCTTCCACCTGAGCGCGCGTCGAGAACTTGGGCTATGTTGAGGTCTTGCGTTCTACTGACTCTGGTGTTTAGAATGTTCTACTGATTCTGGTGTTTAGGGTGCTGGGGGGGGGGGCGGGGGGTGGGGGTGGTGAGGCGTTGTTAAGGTCGAGGACGTGCGATGAAAAACATTTTACCAGGCTTGTATATCCTTCAGTAAGTTGAACTGCACACAGGCGCAGGGTCCCATGTTCCCAAGCAGCCACCGCAACCAGCTAGAGTGCAAACCCCACAACGAGATGCAAAAAAGGCCGGAGAACATAGGATGCGTATTGGAATCCATTGGACGTACTCTAGCAGGCGTTCCCCAAGCAACCACTGCCACCAGTATGTGCTAGTACTACGTGCTGATACACTGTATACTGCAGCGTGCGCTGCCTGAGGCCTTGTGCTAAAGAACGCCCAGGCTGTTGTTCAGAGTCTTCTGTCCCAACACGTCAATTCCATGGCGGGATCTTCGGTTGTTGGCGCTGAGGCACTAGACGGCACACCTCCGGATGCCACTTGGCTTGACATTCGTCTTCACGCCTCCGCAAAGCATCAGTATGCTACATGAGCAAGAAGGCGAAGACAGCTTGTTTTTACAGTCCATTCGGCAAGGCAAAGCCCACTATGTGTAAACCCTGGCCAAACAAAAGCGCTGCCCAGCAGCGGGGTCATTGTTGCCCATACCACTAGATTTTACAGCCTTGCGCCCAACGACCAGATTTTGCCGAGAAGCCAAATCCAAGCCAGCTCCCAGTGACCAGCATTGTGCAGGCCTTCGTCGTGCTCCTGCAGGGATGGGGGGTTCCCTTGAACTTGCCTTTTCCCATAACTTAGCGTGGGCCTCGTTTGGGATTGTTTCGGGTTCAGGGCTGCGTTGCCTGGGGCTTAGGGTCAGGTACTCTGCAACCAAGTTAGGGTCAGCTCTTGTTCAGGCTTTCGACTAAAGTAGCCTGGGAACCCGACCAGGGTCTCAAGATATCTTGATTAGGGTTTAGGGTTTAGGGTTTAGGGTTTAGGGTTTTTAGGGTTTTTAGGGTTTTTAGGGTTTTTAGGGTTTTTAGGGTTTTTAGGGTTTAGGGTTTAGGGTTTAGGGTTTAGGGTTTAGGGTTTAGGGTTTAGGGTTTGGGGTTTGGGGTTTGGGGTTTGGGGTTTCGGGTTTCGGGTCTCTGCATGAGCCGCGAGAAACTTTCGCCTTTTCATCACCAGCTCCGGGCCGCTCCCAGTTGGAACTTTGCTTCTCGTGTCGCCATGAGGTGCGGAGGTAGCAAATAGCTGTTTCCATCAGCAAGACTACGAGTAGCAAGGTTCTTCTTGGTATGTGGTACAACGGTTTGTCATTCCAGTGGAGAACATCAGCTGTAAAGGACAGTAAACGGGAAACTCAAGCACGGACTAAGCACGGATTTGAAAAAAAAAACTACCAAGCGAAGCATGCGAAACCTCCCACTGAGCCCTCAACCCCGCGCCTCCCAGGCACCTGCCTTGGAGGCCGAGGAGAAGGCAGGGAGGATGACAGTACTGAAGTTGCCTCAGGCTCCGCTGAAACTGGCAATGCCATCAGTGCCGATGGTACCGCAGTAGCATTGCAGCCTGGTCGCCCGCCAGCCAGGACAAGGCCGAAGCGGGTCCTGTGTGGGCCATGATGGAATTGGTACTGGACAGGATCAAGAGGCGTCGACAGCCAAGGTGATCCCCAAAGCCCTCGCAGCCATCAAATCACGTCAAGGAAGTGACTTTTCATGGGCGAAACTGGCTCCTAGTAACTACAGAGATCCAGGACAGGCATGATCGTCTCTGTAGCACTATACGATTGCTTGGGCTTTGGTTCGGCTAATGTCGACCTTTCGGGATTTTTGACCTCGGCAATCAGACTGTGGACTTCCTATATGTCGTTCGCATCTTGCAGATGTCTCTACGATGCCAATCGCTGCTGACCTTGAAGATTCGGACGGATTACAGAAAACAACAGTTAAAGGGTCGAAAACCAAGGAGTGGCGTCCCTCGTGGCCTGGCCAAGGAATGCTCTGTGTCTCAGGATCCATCAGGACAAAGGGAGTCAGCTGCTCGTTCAGCCTGACCGCCGGACCAGCATTGCTACACACACTTGCGGCCTGCAAAACAAGACCCAGTTCATGGTTGGGATAACCTTAAAAATGTAAATTTCTTTTTCTTAATTGAGTTTAAGCTTCCTTAAACATGTAAAATGTTCCCGCACTATGACAAAGAGACTGGCACGAGCCTCGTGAGCCTTAAAGCGTTTGACCCATCCCCCTGGCCCCCCAACTCGCAGCCTCTCCGTCCACTGGTGGGGGCTCGGCGTCAACCCCAGCTGAAACATCCGCTGCGACACCTTCTCCTTAGCTTCAGCTGGCTTCAAATACACCACTTGGGGATGACTTGGGATGAACCATCCTGCTTCTCTGCGCAGGTCTCATAAGGAAGGTGCGCTTCTCAGGTGACTATGTGCCTCAGAGGTTGATGCTGTAGCGCTGTAGCTGTCTGTTGGGGTATGCAAGAGAATTGATGTCTACACGTCCATGAATCAAGTTGATTTCCCGCCCGCGTGACAGACACATGACCCACCTGGGAATACTGGTAATATACTGAGCACCTTCATGCGAAGCGTTTCAAAGGTATGACCAACACACAAAACCCAGTCGCCATCAGCTCTTTGCGACGGGGATGGCGCCGATGGTTTCGTGCCAGCCAGTCCATGAGGTCTACCTTTGATATTATCAAGCGTCGAGGGCACTGAGACAAGCTTTGGGACGTTGAGAGGCTGTACAGGTTCTTCATCAAACAAGTTCAAGTTCATCCACATCTGCCTCAATATCAGCCTGAACCCTGAACCCTAAGGCCCTAAGCCTTAAACCCTGGTTTCTCTGGGTAACCAGGCGGACTTCGGATTTAGGTTTCAGGGTCAAGGATAGCCCATTCCTTTCTGGGTGTAGTCTCTGGGTTTAGGGAGCTTAGGGAGTGGATTAGGACATATTCAGATACATAGAAAGAAAACAAGACCGATAGAAAGATTTACATACGGGCATTCTTATGTGTAGACACGCATATACATATATACAGGCATATATATATATGTATTATATATGTATGTATATCGATATCGTAAAGGGGGATTTCAGGCGAGTCAGAGAGCCCAAGCGGCGTGAAGCTCCCGCGCCTCGGTGCGGGAGCGGTTGTTCTTCCAAGCGCCTCCGCAGAACTCCGCAAAGAGAAGTTTAGGGTTTGGGGTCAGGGTTTTTAGGGTTTCAGGTTTAGGCTGGTTTTGTTGGCAGAAAAATGTCTGAGACTTCTTCTTTCAAGTTTTTGCATCACGTCCACTTGGGGTTTGGGGTTTTAAAGGTATATCATATGCACCCCCCCCCCCTGCCCGGTATGCTTGCAGCAAATACTCTTCCTGTCCCCTCGTGGCTCGTGTCTCTGACAAGCGGCCGGGAGCATTGTGCGCCTGGAAATCCTCCCAGAGGTCCTTGTCCTGAGTTACGCAGCACGCCGCATGCCGTTGGGTTCGGCTTCCCGAAGTTCATCTCCTGGCATCCCAACACAAAGGGGGTGGAACAGGGGAACCCACAAGCCGAGGCACTGGGATGTCAGCCGCTGAGCCCTGCGTGAGGTTGTCCTCACTGCCGACAAGCCTTTCACCGGGTGGCTGCAGAGCTTTCACTTCACGGCTCGCGCCCCTCCGGATGTCCCCTAGACGTCCCCAACGCAGCGAAAGCATGTGCAGACGAAGCGCGACTGGAGGTCTGCCAGGAGTTGAGCATCTTGCTCAGGATCCTCAGGAGCTTGCTTGAGGCATGCTTTGATGGAGGGAGACGTGTCTCCGAGTATCAAAGGCATGCAGGCCACTACAGGCATTTGCGGCTTGAGGAATGGTGAGATAAGGTGACAAGGGAGCTGCTCGAGCGGCTCATCCACCTCAAGCTTCATACCGGGCAGGGGAGGATGAATGAGGAAAGTGGGAACTTCATATCCCGCCCTTTCAGGGATTATGGGGTCTGGGGTGTAATTAGCAGGCTTTAAGGGTTTAGGCTGGTTTAGGGCTACTGCCCAGAAGGAAAACAGACAGAGAAAGTCTAAGCCAGAGCCCAGGAGGCCAGCACCGGGGCGGCGAGGCCCACGGCAGACCAGGCCAGGAGGGCGGCGCCGCGCAGGCGGCGCAGGGCTCCACGGGCCATTGCCAGGGCGGCTTTTTTGAGAGGGAAGGAGACCCCCCCTCTCTTGAAAGCAAATTTGTTTCGTCGTGCTTGTGGTTGGCCGGCTTCTAAGGGCTTTAGATGGGTTTCACTGGCTTAGCATGCGCGGGTGGGGCTGACAAGCTCGTGTGCCGTGCCCTCACGCAGTCTCTCCGGAGCACGCCCTTTGGGTTGCGCGAGTCTCCAAGTGTTTCAAGCTGCCTGCAGGGTTTAGGGTTTAGGGTTTGGGGTTTAGGGTTTAGGGTTCAACGGCAGCTTGAGTTGTATGCAAGGCTTCAGCGTTTTTCGGCTCAGGGCTTCTCTGGCCTACATGGGGGCTGCTGTGCGGCCGGTTGAGTTGCCTGCAGCTGCGGGAGTGAACGTTTAGGGTTTAGGGTTTAGGGTTTACGGTGTAGGGTTTAGGGTTTAGGGTTTACGGTTTAGGGGTATGATGGAAAGATCAACCGCTCCGGCAACTTGGACGTCTTGCTCAAGATACGAGTTTGTCTCCAAAAGAGGGGGAGCCTCCTTCATAGCCCCCAAACTACTACATTCCCTGGTACAGTATAGGACACTGCTATACCCTCAGCCCGAAACCTTCAACCAGGGACCGCTCCTCCGTTGAGCGAACCAGGCACTCCTCGGAACATCTGGGCTTGCGCAGAAGAGGCTTGCACCCTTCTGGGGGGTTTAGGGTTGAGGGGCGCCGTTGTTTGGAGGGTCCTAGAATCAGGATGGGGTATAATCAGGGGACCCCTCGTGAGGAACTTGGGAATTTTGCTACCTTGTCAGATCTGAACGGCCCTGTCCCGCATCTCAATCGGAAGGCTACACGCCGGAAGACTCCGATGAGATGCCACAAGTCACACAAGCTGGTGAGAGACTTCAGCTCTGTCTGCGGTTTAGGTGGCAACCTCCGTGATTCTTTTTTTTTTACCTGGGATCTGACTTCCCTCTGACTATACTTTACATTTTGTTGACAACTTTTTTAGCTGCGGCTTGCACTTCGTCGAGGTGCAGAGGCACGTGGCTCTTCTCATCCACCACGAGGTCACCCTGCCACGTGCGGTTCCTCAGCAGACGGAGTCTTTGCTCACAACGCATCCCTCGTGATGGACGAGGGCGAGAGTGGCAGAACTCGAGCTCTTGGGGCAGTTTGTATGTATGATGATCCATCTGTTCTTTGAGCTGAAACCCTAAACCCTAAACCCCAAACCCCAAACCCCAAACCCCAAACCCCAAACCCTAAACCCTAAACCCTAAACCCACCCAGGTCTCTCTAAGAGCATCCTCCGGGGACCCGGGCAGAGGCCGGCGTGAGGTGACGGGCGGGAGATTCGTCTGCCTGGGGTTTAAGGTTTAGGGTTTAGGGTTTAGGGTTTAGGGTTTAGGGTTTAGGGTTTAGGGTTTAGGGTTTAGGGTTTAGGGTTTAGGCTCAGCCACGGCTGCACATGCTGCCAACCAAACGAAGTCGGCTGCGAGCAACAAGTATATGGGGGTTTCCGACGTTCGGGGTACCTTATTGGGGTCCTTACTACAAGGGAATCCTCCTATTTTGGGGGTCTATCTCAGGGGTCCCTTATTTTCGCAAACACCCATATAAGCATACCCTGATCACTCCGCACGCCCTGCGCCATCTCCGGGCTGGTCCGGGCGAGTGGCTGGCTCCACGGCTTTTGCAGGTCTGGGGCCGACCTGGATCAACTTCCGAATAGCCCTCTTTTGGGGGTGGTGTGGGATGTTCCCCCTGAGACTAACAGTCCTCAATCGGGATTATAATAGGGGGTCCTATAATCCCTACTAAGGACTGTTAGTGTAAGGGTACTGGTGCCCCTATGGTGGTGTCTGAATTTGAGCACTGAGATTGCACAACTGAACTCCAATGCCGAGAGTTCCACGCACTTGTCATGTCCTGTGACAGGGACACTTCACAAGCAAAGAGCAAGGGCGAGACTTAGAGAATTAAGCTCCGAGCTTCAGAAAGCTGTACCCAGTATGTCCGATCTCTTCAAGTTACTCCTTCCCCGGCCCCCCCCCAACCCCGCTCTGCCGACTTTTTTCACAGCCCGATCCTTGCCGAACTTTGGGCTGGGAATCTTGGTCTCGTCCTGGCAGACATGCTTCTTCAGGCTCAGACGGGGGGGCGATAGTGCTTGGTTCGGCTGGCAACCGGCCGTGGTTGCTGAGTGAAAGCCCCTGTGGAACCCCAATATCCCCAATTTCTGAGCCCAAAACCCCGACTTCCCAGCACAGGAAAACCATGCCAAACCAATCCCACCCGATTCCTGAATAAAAGCCAATTCGCCTTGTACACCGTGCTTGGCCGCGACTGCGAGGGCGTGGTGGACATGGCCGGGGGCGGTTGCCTGGACCAGCTGGAGGGGTTCGGGGGCTTTTCCAGCCCGGAACTCGGGCCGCTCTCCAAGCGACTGTGCTTTTCATGCATTCTTTTCACCCTCCCACACACACATCCGATTGGGCTCTTTAGTTCCTGCACGCGGTGGCTTTGTTAGGTTCCTTCGGCACAAGGTATCCCAGCTGCTTCGCGGCAGCTCACCGGCCTCCGCACCATGCCGATGCTCCATCGCCGGCTCGGGCCGCGCACGCCCGCGCCGTCACTGGATGGGGGCAGGCAAAACGGAGGATTACGGTTTAGGGTTTAGGGTTTAGGGTTTAGAGTTTAGGGTTTAGGGGAGTTGATGTTAGTTACGCCCGTCAGATTCGGGGAGGCAGACAATGAAAGAGATGATCTTTCACAACTTCTCTGAAACTCATAAATGCAACGAGCTTTCCAAAAGCCTCTGCATCCGCTTGGCGTTCCTGGCATCCGCAGTGCTGTTGTAAGCCAACCTCAGCATCAAGACCGCAAGACACTGCGCAAACATCTCCAAAGCTGCAGAATGGCTGAGACAAACCATCTTCAATAACGATAATAATGTAAACACGACCAATCTCGTGGGCAGTAAGAATGCTTGCTCCCAGTTCAATGCAGCACAACGGACAGACTGCAATGCTTTGCATTTAAACTGCCGTAAATAGCCCAGCGGCTTGCTCTGCACAGTCATGTCTTCGTCCTGGGAAGTATTATTGCATCCCCACGCAACGCGTTGCGAACATCGCTACACGTGACACGCCTGCACAAGAGCCGACCCAATCATACTTCTCAGCCATCAGATGAAGCGTGCATTCTGGATAGTCGATGCAGGACTTCCATCAAGTCAGAAGACTGTCTTCAAGGTGAGCAAAAGGTCCTCGTCCCCACTTAGGGCTTCCACGACGCGCTCGGGATGGTTGAAGTACCTGTGAGTTCCCTCGAATCCACACTGAAAAAAACGAAACTCTGCTGTGCAGGTCGCCTTTGGGCTTTACGAAGCCTTCGCATCCGCAGCGACGTCTCCTGTTGCGACGTTGAGCCGACCGTGGCTGGAAGGAAAGGTGCTTGGTTACGTATCCTAGCCATGACATACGATGCGTGACATTCACTCACCTGCCTCTCACTCTCACTCTCCTCGCTCACTGGCTGGCCTGCTCGCCTCACTCACAGGTAGATGCTGCAAAGAAAAGGGCATGTGCCAGCATGCCCAACAAATCCCTGCTACGCTATGCGCTGTTCCCACGCCCCTGTGGCCATGCTCATATCCCATGTCCTCGTCGGTCTCGGGATCCATGGCCTTCAGTCGGCTTGGGCTCAGGAAGTCTTTCATGCTGCTTGGGGCTCGCGCCGGGAGGCGCGGACGCACCTCGGGCTCGTGTCAGGGGCCCCGGACAGATCAGCTCCTTGCATGGCACAGAGGATGCAAATCAGCCTCGTATATGTATGCACATACATAGATACATACATACAAAAACATGTGTCAGATTCTTAAGATTGCTGATAGTGCCAGTCATGTCAATGTTATTATTCCTGATCATCTTCGACATCACTATATTCAGTACGGGTCGAACCCATGCAGCAAAACCTTTCTTGGTACGCATGACGATGCATGACTTATGCTGCAGACTTCGGTGCGGAAACAAAGTATATACCCCCAAGCAGGTACGGTTTGGGGTTCTCACGGAACTTCAGGTCCCTTCACGGCTCGCTTTCGGGCTCCTGGGTCGGACTGGGCACCGAACTTGGGCTCCCTTCATGTCTGCGGCCGCGGCGAGCGAACTTGGGCTTTTTTTTGTTCGAAAAAAGGTGACCACAGTGACGGTATGGGTGGGCCGTGGCGACGGAACTTTGGCTCCCTTAAATTTGCTGTGCGACAGGCACCATTTTCATTTCATCAAGCTTGTATGTGCTTCCGGCACACAGATCTCAGCGCGTGTGTTAATTAGGTGTGTCTTGTCTCGCAGGCAAGCTCTCCAGGTCATCTCGCTCGCGGAAAGAAGCTTGATTTTTTCGGGGCATGCACGGTAGATTCACAGTTTTTTCCCGTGCGACAGCCAATACATCTCTTGTATCCCAAGCTTGTATGGCTTCTGGACCAAATCTCAGTACGTGGGTATTTTTCGACACATTCTGTTTGGATTCTTCGCTGATGTATTTTGTCTGTCTTTTGTGCTCTTCTTCTACGCTGAAACTCTGGTCGAAGCTAGTATGCGTCTTCTCGGTGCGCACATTTATTTGACTGGTTGCCCGGATATTAAACACCCCTCTCAGCACAACCTTCAGACCAAACTTCGGAAGACGCGATCATGCAAGAAACTGAACCCAAGACCTTCCCCCATCCCCCTCTCCGCGAATGGAAGTGTTTAGGGCTTAGGGAAAGAGCCCTCGTAAGTTTTGAGGATAGGAAAATGTATACATACATACATACATACATACATACATACATACATACATACATACATACATACATATATCGATCTCTCTATCTCTCTCTATATATATATATATATATGCATTACATACGCACACACACACACACATATATATATATATATATATATAATATACACATGCAAATATATGTTGAGAATTCGATGTACTCATACACCTCTCGGGTTTGGGAGGTGTGTGTGTGTGCACGGCTTCCACAAGATGGCCGGGCCTGGGATTCCAGTGCTTCGCGCCCGTCTTGTCGTGCATGCACGGCGGGAGTGCCTCCGGCATTTAGGGTTTAGGGTTTTGGCGTTGAGAGCGCCGTGTCTGGGGTTTAGGGTTTAGGCTGAAGAGCTAAACTTGAGGATTCATTGGGTCTCTCCCCAAGCCCATGCCGCAAGGAAGATCGTACACTGTGCCGTCCAATTCTGCATCGGCTCTGTCACAGCACAAGCTGCCTGTAACCCTTTTTGGGCCACACGGGAATGCCCCGGCTTTGCCGAGATTCCGATGCTAAGTACCTCGGGAGAATGACCAATGCCCCGAGCCAATTTTAGGAGAGCCGTTTGCCCATGAGCTCCTTGATGAGGTCGGCATTCTGCCTGACGGCGTACTCACCTTGCGCGGCCAGCAAATTTACCTGCGGCCCTGTCAAGCCCAAAGTGAGGCTCGCGTTGTTGTTGGTCGTGTCATAGACTGGAAAGTTGGCAAAGGTGCCCTCATCTCCTTTGGCGATCTCCTGCTGAGTCTCCTCCGGCAGCTGTTGCTGGAAGCCCATGGAGACATCCAGGTAGATCAGGACCAAATTTATCTCGTAGCCACCCACGATGCCCCAAAAGTAGTTTGGAATCACCTGATACTCATGACTGCCGGAAAGGGGGGGGGGGGCTTCCGAAATCAGGGGTGCTGTATCTTATTGCAAAGAAATCCTACTATTTGGGGGTCGATTATAGGGGTCCCTAATTTTCTGAGCACCCATATGGCGTGAGGAGTTGCGGGGACGACTCTGCCTCCAGCTTCTCCTTGATCACGGAAGGCCTGCCCTCGGCTTTGAGCTTTGCAAGCTTCTGGACAACACCCAAGAGCGCAGACTTCTTGAAGACTTGGTTGTTGCCGTAGTAGCAGCCCCATGGATCTCTCCTTGGCATCAAAAACATCAGCCCGCACACTAATAAGCACACCAAGACTATCCAAGACTTCTGTGCAAGTTAGATTCTGGGCATAGCCGAATGCGCTGTAGAGCTGGCCAACAACGCCAGCCACGACAGGGTCGAAATCGTGCTGCGTGGCATTCTCAAAATCATATGTCTGGCTGAGAGGGTCCGAACTGCTTGCGATCCAGATCACATTCTTTGCCTGACGCTGCAGAAGTGGCAGTAGGCCAGAGTTGTCAAGGTTGCCACCATCGCCAAATTGGAACTCACGAGCTTTGGCACCTGCCGGACGCTTGCCCCCAGCCACCGGCCAGTACTGCCCATGGATGTTAAACGTGCAAGCGGTGAAGTAGGAGTATGCTGCAAAGACAGCTGGCGCGAAACTGCTTATCGCCACGGCCGTGGTTAACGAGAAAGGCTTGCTGGGGGCCCCCACCGGCAGCTTTCCCTGCGTACCTGGCACACCTCCCTCAGGAGCCGTGCCACCAAAGGCAAAAGTCTCCACCATGCCACCCCCCACGGTTGTCTTCAAGGCGCATCGGCAAGGCCAGGGCCGAAGGCAGAGGGGAGCCAGCGAGTAGCCCAGCTCGCAGTCCATGGGGAAGAAGGGGCTCCCAGTGTAGTCGGGGCTCATCTGGAATGACACGATGTTGTCCTCGTCAACCTTGTACCCGGTTGGTGCCAGCAAGGCCCCGTTCATCACGAACAGCCTGGCTTGGCCCCCCGGCGCCCCTTTAAACCCTCTGGCACCATGTTGTTAAAGAAGAGCCTCTCAAAACCCAACTATAACTTTTAAGGGACACAAAAACTTCATCCCTGTTCCCCTAGGAAGAAAAAAGGATCCTTTTGTTCATATATAAGAAAGCCCATAACCCAAAAAGTAAGAAGGATCCCTGACACTGATCTAGAAAACATATCCCCAAGTTGAACTTCTAGCAACGGTGGTCGGTCTGCGCGAGGCGTTTGGAAGACGGCATCTTTCAGTCCCGGGTTCTCGGCTTTGATGCGCTCAACGTCCACAGCGTTCCTTAGCTTCTCTCAATGCCTTTTAAAATACTTTACATTAGGGTTTAGGGTTGGTTTAGGGTTTAGGGTTTAGGGTTTAGGGTTTAGGGTTTAGGGTTTAGGGTTTAGGGTTTAGGGTTTAGGGTTTAGGGTTTAGGGTTTAGGGTTTAGGGTTTAGGGTTTAGGGTTTAGGGTTTAGGCTTTAGGGTTTCCGGGTTTAGGGTTTAGGGTTTAGGCCTTTGAAGTACGTGAAAGAGTTGCAGCCCTTATGTCTGTATGGCCCCTTGTCAGCAGAACCAACATTAACAGGCATCAACGATATTGCTTCAATGGCCGAGGCTCTGCGCCATGTAGCTGTCCATGTTGCCCAAGCCAAAAGGCTCCAGCACGAGCTTGGACACCGCCCTCTTCCACATATCCTTGTCGCTAACTCTCCCCACAAATTCCTGCACGCGGCCCTGGGCATTCTCGTGGGCCAAGCCCCATGCAAAGGGCGCCACCTCCTCTCGGAGTTTCGCCAGGGTCAATTCAGACGGTGTGGTTGGATCGCCGAGCATCCTCTCAGTGTCAATAGGCTTGCCGTGAAATTCCTTGCCGAACATGTACACGGAGGATGCCCACGTACCTCCGGAAACCGAGCTGATTGCGTCAAGCTTGCCCATGACTCCCATGTGATGCAAGGCCCGGTAGACACCCAGGGTGTGCGTGAAAGCACGGCATCCACCGCCACTTGTACACAAGCAATAGGTCGCCTCGTGGCTACCTGACTTTGGGGATTCCCTCCCCCAAGCCCTAACCCACATCTCTGGCACTTCGGCGGGTGACGTCGAAGCCTTCTTGCATAATAGGTAGACTTCACTCTGGGTTTGGGAGCAGCAACGCCCTCAAGGTGCAACAGAAAGGGACGCATAAAACCTAGGCCTATGGTCCTACAGTCATCTAAATGCGGCAGTCCAAAACACTGGCAATTAAGACGATCATCGGAAAGGGCTCAGGTTCTCGCAGGTATAAGGGGACGCATTACAATCGAACCCAAACAGGGAACCATAATCCAGAAAGTAACCGCAGACATAGGCAACTAGGGTTTAGGGTTGAGGGTTCGGAAAGTCCTGGCCTGGAAAACTGGGTGACATGCTGTTGACAGGCACCACATCTGCCAAAAGTTTTGAAGGTGGCGCGCCCATGTATGGATTCCGGGCTGGAACCTTTTGAGTCCCCCGAAACTTGGGAAGACCGAGCCAGAAAGGGTTTTCGGAATTGATGCATGCACAGGGCTTCCTTGGCCGCCTTACTTGTGGCGGCTGTACCGGAATCACGATCCCAAGAAAGTCTGATGATCAAAATAGGGCCTAGGGGGGCCTCTGTGATCCTCCAAAACACCACCAAGGGCCGGGTTCTCAAAGGTTTGTAAGCTATTTGAGCCCTACATCCGGAACCCTTGCCGGGTGAGCCCGACAACAAGAGGCTGACCACCCCGCGCATGAGACATTTGAAAGCTCTAGTCGCACTCGTACCCGAAGCCCTAGACCCTAGACCCTAAACCCTAAGCCCTAAACCCTTCACCCTAAACCCTTCACCCTAAACCCTACACCCTAAATCCTAAACCCGAACACGAGGAACCCAGAGTCGGGAAGAGGGACAGCCTGAGTCAAACACGATCAGGGTTTAGGGTCTCGGGTTTTGTGGTCTAAGGTTTAGGGCTTAGGGTTTTGGGGTTTGGGGCCCATTACCCACTCAGCCCGTGTTCCAAAGCCCATCGATCCCACTAGTGAAAGCCTCGAGGTCCGAGCTCCCACCGAAACTTCCACGCTGCCCCCTTCACCACTTCACCGCTACTTGGGCGCACCTGGCTGCCGCAGATGCGGTGGTCGAGGGGAGTGCTGTCGTCGTCGTCGGCATCGTAGCCGCAGGCTCTCAATTCTTGTTTTTATCTCTCGCAGTTGTCCACTCGGAATCGCTTACGCAATTCTTAGCCGCCCTGGAAGCTGACGATCTCAACGTGACGAAAGCCACCCAAAAACCCGGAAGCCTACTCAGTTGCCGCGTCCCAAGTAGGGCTCGCGCTATCATCTCCATCTTCAGCGCAACCTGGAAGCTTAGGGACCGCGATGGCCAAGGAGCTGGCCGGGGGAGCAATTTTCCCCGAACCAAAAGGCACTGCAACCATCGGCTAGGGTGTGAGGATGCCCCACAAGTGCTAGCTGAGGTGGGTGATCGGTTGATGGTTGATGCCTAGACCACCTGCACCAGTTGCTGGCTTCCAATATCATGGCAAGGCGTCCCCAAGACATGCGGCTCTTTGAGCTCAGGGGTCTTGGCCTCCAGAAGCTGCTTCTTCGTCTTCAGCACTTCCGCGCGCAAATCTGAGGCGGGAGGGATACAATCCACAAAAGAGGCAGACTAAAGAGCAGGCACTTCAGAGTGGGCTGCCCCTTAGACGGGTTGCAGATCGAAGCAGCTCTCACTGCTTTTGGGCGCGGAACGACTCATGCGAAGACCGAAGCTTGGCCACTTTTTTGACAGAGCGCGCGCGCTACTAGTACCGGTGCCCGTGCCAGCACCACCACCATCGTTGAACCGTCAACAGCACAACGCTGAGGTCTCGGACGGTTCTCCATCGGCGGCTCCGGGACCACGATCTTCTGAGCCTCCTTAGAGCAGCAGCTTGCAGAAGCTCCGGAGTTCAGGCCCTTGCAGAGGCCGTGCCACCATGAAGTTAGACCTAACAGGTTAAAACAGTAAGCCTTAAGGATCTTAACAGCTCAGGTGCGGGTGCTCTTGCGGCGCTCAGCTGAGGCCATTGCCGGCCGCAGCCTCAGGTAGGAGGCAAACCTGAGGCGCAGGGCTCGGCCAAAGAACGAACAAACTATTCAGGGGGCCGGTTGCCGACTTTTCTGCGCGGTTCGCCACGCAGGCCAACAGCTGAAAGACGTCGATGAAGTTTGAAATAAGATAACATAAAGTGATCCGATATAAAATACTATAATAAAGTATAATCAGCATGTGCTGCAGATGCCAGGCTTTCGGCTCGCAACACACACACACACACACACACACACACACACACACACACACACACACATCCCTCTACGGATCAGGAATGCCCCGTAGCAAATACACGCGGCTTTGCCTGACCTGGAAACTTGCACTTTCCACGACGGCGAAAGGCGGACATATTCACACAACTCGCCGTTGAAACCCCGTTTCTCGGCTTGGAGTCCTCGAAAGCCCCGGACAAGGGAAGCCGGGAAAGCCTGAAAAGGGTTTAGGTTTAGGGTTTAGAGTTTAGGGTTCAGGGTTCAGGGGATGGGCTTCCAAAGCCCAGACATCTTCAGCCCAGCAGCGGATTCTCCTCGAACTGGATCGGTTCTGTTCCATCCAGGCGGTCCACCTTGACTCTGAGGAAAAAACGACAATAATATAGGAGTCGGAATAATTACTAGTGGTGTTCCCCTTTATGGTCCCTATATAATTACGCTTTTATAACCACCAAAACCCTATTCTAGTTACTAAGGCCCAGATATTATTTGCTAAACTCCAAAATGCTCCACGTGGCATGGGCCTGCTCTCGGCCCAATGCTCTCTGGGGCCGCGGCTTCCAACGGCGCCACTTCATCCTGGCAATCTCCAAGGGGGGTCTTGGGTGCAACTCCCTTTGTCAGCCTGTGGTCACAAGTCTTGGCAAGCATGGCAATTTAGCATGCGGATCTTAGCTTCGACTCCTTGGATACTTTGGACTTGCAATGGTCCGTGGGCTGGGGAGAAGCAATTGGTGTGCTGCATGCAGAACGTGGCCGCCAGCCTGGCCCTCCAGTGACGGGAGGTCCTGAAGGAAGGCAAGAGTTTAGGGTTTAGGGTTTTCGGGTGTAGGGTGCTGTTGCTTTGTTTGTTCAAACACGCTTGCGTGCACTCCTTCGTGTCAGGGCAGTAGGCAAGGGCTTGCAAGTCGAATGCGGGAGTTGATCAACATGTTGCCAAAGATTACCCCATACTTCCCTTATAAACCCATATTTCCCTTAAAGGCCAAATGGGAACCCTACGTAATTTCCCAGAAGAACCTTTAGATCACCACCTCAACTCTAACAAATTGCGAAGCCACAGCTTGCCTTGACTGGTGCCAATGGCGAGGCGCAAAGGCTCCTCAAGCCCTGCCGGTTCAGGCACGAACCGAAAACACGGGACGAACTCATCGGCAGCTGCGTGCAGCAGACATAACAGCTGCATTAGCAGTTGCAATGAAAACCATGAATACCCACGTGGACCGCTGGTCTTTCGGCCTCCAGCCGCTCCGTCAACGATCCGAAGCCTGGGTGCTTGAACTGACTCTCGCTTGATCAGAATGCCTTAGGGCTTCCACCCACTCTTGGAATCCGTGCCCCGGGAATAGTGGGAGTCGCAATGCAACAAGAAAGCAAAGATGCTAGCTGAGCGACTGGTGTGCAGTCAGGCAGTCTCTTCCAGCATAACCTCACCAAAATATAAAAAAGACAGGCCTTTAGTGCCATCCCAAGGGACTGGTGCGTCGGCTGCTACGGCTGCCTGGCCGGATGGCGGCCTGGGAGAGATGCTCAGAGGGGAGCTGAGGCAACCCCAAAGCAAGAAGGCAGCTCATAGCAACCAACAGAAACCAATAGTAGCCAACCGCAATCAATAGTACCCAATGGTAGTAGCCAATTGAAACCAAGAGCAATCATCTCTTGAGATCAGAGTGTGCCGGTGGCAATCGCGTCACCTCTAAGCCCGTGGCATTCGTAGGCGTGCGGATCTCAAGGAAGGCCGCGAAGGGATCGTTCCACTCTGGCGAGGGAGCAAAGGGGAAAGCAGTGAACCCTCAACCCATCTCAACCCTAAACCTTGCTCTTGAAGCTCCTAGAACACATCGAGCTTGCCCTTCCCATTGTTTGAAAAGATTGCCCGAAGGCAGCACCGCCCGAGAAAAATGCAAGTGGGAGAGAGGGAGCGAGGGCGGGAGTCGAAGTCCATTACACAGCAGCCTTTCGCAAGTTGAGGATGTTGCCGGTTTAAAGTTCAGGGTTTGAACGCGCGGTGGCAGCACCCATGGAGGCCGCTCAGCACATCTGCGATGGGAACGGTGGCTCTCAAACGTGCTGATGGAACCTAACCCATATGTTCGGGCTGGAGCTGCGAAGATCTGCGAGGTCCTAAGGGTCCTAAAGTGGACCTCGGCTGAGTCTTTCTGGGGTAAGGCTAGAGGTTGACATGGGGGGGGCTTTCCGAGTGTTGAGTCCTGTGCGGGGGTTTGCCGTGACTTTTCGTGTGAAACCTGCTCTCACTGAGCTCCGCAACGCGGCAGGTACAAGGTGGGAAGCCGAACTTTGGTGCGCTCGGCTCGTGTCAGATTGCCAGAGAATCGGTGCTCCATGCAAGAACATCCACAGCTACTTGTCTTCACACGATGCACTGCCGCCCAGGTGGGAAGATGAAGGCTTGAGGGTCAAGTGCTACTGGCTTGGGTCTGGGTTGTTGTCTACAAAACAGCTACGACATCCTCTGACAGCCCTAAGAGTTGATCACTGTACTGAGCTGGTGCACCCATGCTGCCATTTTTTACCCCGAGCAAAGCACTGGGCTCCAGGTACTGGAGCCAGTTACTGCTGCTGTCTCCCCGAAGCAACCCGATTCCCGCCAGGATGATTCCTGATCGCTCTCGATTGGTAGGATGGTCCATAGAAGAGGGCCGGAGTTGCGCTGGAATTCACCAGCATCTACCACGCCATTGGGTGCGATTCGGGTTGCCTTCCTGCAAGCTCTCTTGCATCCACGATCTGGACCCCAGACTGCTTCACTTCGGCCCCCCCCCTGACTGCTGCCTTGCTTACGCGTCTTTAGCCGCTTTGCTTTAGCCTCTCCCTTTACCCTCTTCGCAGTCTGGCGGCCGCCTGTGAATTGGGACACCGAACCATAAGCACTCAACTGAACGTAACAGTCCCTCTTTGTGTCGAAGCTGTGAAGAGCATCCTTATGGGGGTTTACGAAAGTAGGGGATCCCTCAATATATATATATATATATATATATATATATATCCCCAACTAGTAGGCTTCCCTTAGAGTGAGGACCCCAAAAAGGTACCGCCTAATTTCGAAAACCCCCTTGATCCTGGGTGGGCACGGCTCCTCAGAGGCAGCATGGCCTCCGCAAACCAAAAACGCCACAAGCGACAAGCCCAAATCGAGGCACTTACGCTCCAGCTCAATGAAGGAAGAATGCGTGACATGCCTGACTTCCCACCATGACTCTAAACCCAAAACCCTAAACCCTAAACCCTCAACCCTAAACCCTCAACCCTCAACCCTAAACCCTCAACCCTAAACCCTAAACTCCCGGAGCCTCGGCGTCGTGGAGCCGAAGGACACGCGCATGCCAGGAGGCTGCTGGGCCCCTGTGAGAATTCTGAGGGTTTAGGGTTTAGGGTTTAGGGTTTAGGGCTTAGGGCTTAGGGTTTAGGGTTTAGGGTTTAGGGTTTAGGGTAAAGTCGAAGTAGGACTCCGTAGGACTCCGTGGGACACCGCAGGGTCGAGGGTTTTTAGGGGTTTTTAGGGTTTAGGGTTTAGGGTTTAGCGGTTTTAGGGTTTAGGGTTTAGGGGTTTGGGGTTTAGGGTTTAGGGTTTAGGGTTTAGGGTTTAGGGTTTAGGGTTTAGGGTTTAGGGTTTAGGGTTTAGGGTTTAGGGTTTAGGGTTCAGGGTTTAGGGTATGCTTTCGTCCACGCAGGCTGTGGTCGGAGGATTGATAACTACGAAGGCAACTTTGCCGGCAGCCTATTCTTCAGCGCACACTCCTCTCTCCCATATGTGACAGTAACCCATCCCCGTCGGGACCCCCATATCACCGCACCTGCGAAGCCACCACGCAGCAGCTTGCTGCTGCGGCTAAAGTTCAGCCCGCCTTCGAAGATTGCTGGGTTGGGCCCTGTGCCGCGGATGATCGTGGATGTCAATTCTTGCTGCGAGGAGGAAAGGCCTTCGGGGCTGGGGCCCCGAGTTATAGGGCTCTCTTCGGGTTTGAAAACCCTGAACCCTAACCCTGAACCCTAAACCCTAAACCCTAAGCCCTAAGCCCCAAGCCCTAAGCCCTAAATCCTAAACCCTAAACCACAAGGGATGGCTATCCCCCGTGAACCTGCTCCGCGCCTCCAGACACCGGGCTCCCTGCGCCCGTGCTCCTGGACAGGAACCTTCGAGCACGCTTTTCGACTTAAGGATGGACCGACCTTGTAAGGGTTTAGGGTTTAGGGGTTTGGGGTTTAGGGTTTAGGGTGTAGGCTGTAGGGTTTAGGGTTTGGGGTTTAGGGTTTAGGGTTGTTTTAAGGGGGCTTTGGATTTAAGGCGCGAGTTGCACTGACCGGGAGCCCGGCTCGTCGGAAGGGCTCCGCTTCACCACGGGCTTCACGTTTTCCTCCATAGCATGGCTGCTCAGCTCAAGTTTGCTGAGCCCCTGCTTGGTCACTTTCCGCATACCCCCTCAAACTGTCCGCACGCCGTGGTGCCTGCCTTCCTGTCCGAATACTCCAAGTCCTGCGAAATCAGTCAGGCACGGCTCCAAGACAGTTAGGAGGTCAGATTGGAGGAGCAGTCAACATGGTGTGGCCAAGCCACATGTGCATTTACTCTGCAGGTGCACATGCAGCCAGCACTCCAGACTTCGGATTTTGGTATTCAGAGGCTCCAAGGAACTACTTCCGGCGGCCACGCCTTGGTGCTGGCCCGGAATGTGCGATGCCCTCCCTGGCACGAGATGGATGCGGAACGGTTTTTGGGGACTTCAGGGTTTACGCCTTGCAGCCTACTCTACTTGAGGCCTAGAGCACTAGACGTTTGTAGCAAATCGCTTGTCTTCACTTTGAAGTTGCGGCCATCAACTGTCGCAGCAGCATCACAAGAGCTCGTTCTTCTGAAGAACACGGGATGCAGCTCCAGGCACAGCCTGCTTGGCCGCCTTCACCGCCGAGTCCGTGGGGCGTGGCGTCTCGGGATGTGGAGGTTTCTATGGCAAGCTTAGGGCAACAAGAAATGGCAAGTCAGGAGCTGAACTTCCAGGGAGCGACCCGACTTGGCGCCCAGGGGAAAACAGCACATTTATGACGCTCAGCCTTTTGCGAACTCCAAGCGCCAAAAACATCTGGAGCAGTTCCGCTGCTCAAGCCACAACAAAAGCAGAGGGAGGGGACGGGGACTGCACGCTGTATCCCGAAGACATGAAAGCTGAGATCAAGGCTGGGCGGGCCACTGGAGTGACCACCATCTTCCCCGGTGTCCTTCCAGCAAGGAGCAAGGGGCTTGGGACTTGGGGAGACATAGCAACTGTGCCAGGAGTGTGCCTTAGCAAGCAAGCCAAGGGGGACTCAGGTGAGCAACTGTGCCAGAATGTTGCCGTAACTGTGCCAGAGATGTCCCTAACAAGCAGGCCAACGGAGGCTGAGGCGGGCAACTGCAACGGAATTTCGCCCTAACAGCAGCCCAGGTACGCTCGGGTGAGCAACTGCACCAGAACGATTTGCGGCATTCGGGGTGCCTCAAAAAGCGGGGGGCCCTGTACCAGAATGTTGCCCGGGACCGGGGAGGTTCAGGCGGGCAATAAGCAAGCCAGAGACGGAATGTAGATCCTTGCAGATCGGTTTTAGGGACGGACTGGGGATGCTCGAAGTGCTTTTTGGGGGGAGGAGTCAGGATGCTTCATGGTAGAGAATTGCTGGGTTCTTGGGGGGATCGGGGTTCTGCAAGGGTTACTGGCAAGGAAGTGGACCCAACCATCAAAGTGCATGTACAACGCGGACCTACATGCGGAAACAACCCCGGAACTTTTTAGTGGGGTACCCAAGAAGCAACCCAAATTTAGAGAACCACAACCCTATGAACCCGAACTCTCCTGGTGACCGGACGACGCTCAGTGTCCACGGGACGGCGGATCTGGCCGCAGGAGCTCCGCTGCAGCTGGCCCTCAACACCCCCCTCTAAAACAGGCGCCCAACATATGATACCCTTTTCAACTCCAGACAGGATCTTGTATAAAGCAGAAAGGGTATTGCCCTAAAGCCTAAACCCCAAAGCCTACACCCTAAACCCTGTTAATCCATCCCCATATCCTATCCTGGGTGCACGCGTCTTTGTGGAGTTGCTTGAAATCCCCTTTAAGCTCTGCACCCTTGACCCAGCAAATGGCACAAACGAAGGCCTCAACGCGATGCCTGCCAAGCCAGGAAAGGGCGGACTTGGGCTGGTTGAAAGAACACACCGAAGAGAGCGACATGAGCAACACCCAGCGTGGCAGCATGTGGTAGCTCGGGTACGGAGCAACTCAGCCTCGGAGTCTTGGCATGTGGTGGCGGCGCTTCCTGTGCGGTGCCGAACCCTAAGCCCTATTTGGAGGTTCATGGTACTCATAACCGCAACCCCCTTAAGTGCACTCATGTGGTTGTAATTGGGTTCTAGGTACAGTTCTACTTTGAATATCCAGTACCATGAACCTCCAAGTAAGCCCTAAACATCCCTAAACCTCACAACCTCATAACCTCATAAGCCCTAAACATCCCTAAACCTCACAACCTCATAAGCCCTAAACATCCCTATACCCTAAACCCTAACCCCTAAACCCTAAACCCTAAACCTCCGCCCGGCCTCCTCATCCGCTGGCGGGCAGCTGCTGGGCCGACGCCCGAGGCTCACGCGGCGCACCGTGCGGAGCTCGGGGCCTTCACGAAACCTACCATTTGCCTAAGAACCCAAAAGAATAAGGACATTGTGATCCCTATATAGCCTTAATAAGGAAGAATACTTTTTTGTTTTTTCGGGGTTTTTAAGCAGTTAGTAGTAACGGGGGAACCCTGCTCCGGGAATGAGATGTGGGGTTTCCGACATTGGGGGTACCTTATTGGGGTCCTCTTTTTAAAGGAATCCTACTGTTTAGGGGGGATCTTTCTGAAGGGCCCCTTTTTTTCGTACACCGCCATGTGACGGGAACCAAGGCTAAACCAGGCCGTCTGACGGTGGCGGAACGCTTGGCGGTTTGCGCGGTCACCGTGTTAGACAAGCGGAGCCCCTGGAAGCACAAGGACACCGAGCAGCGATCACCTCATGGGCGCTGCACGGACTAAAAATATGGGGAATGGAGTGGTTCATCTTCGGTCGAGGCACATGGTTGCTGTTACCACAGCGACGTGGCTGGGGGCTCAAAAGCTCGTCTCCGCACATGACCCTACACGCCTAGTTCAGTTTTTTTTATGCTGTGCCCTCCTGCATCGCCCGATCTCCTAGCTGCGCCTTTAGTGCAAAAGTGCGTAACTGTGTAAGCAAGTGTAGGTGCACGCGCAAGTGAAAGTGCAAGTGAAAGTGCACGTGAAAGTGCAAGTGAAAGTGCAAGTGAAAGTGCAAGAGAAAGTGATAGTGAAAGTGATAGCGAAAGTGATAGTGAAAGTGATAGTGAACGTGATAGTGAGAGTGATAGTGAAAGTGTGTAGGGGGGGCCGGGGGTGAGCGCGTGCTCATCTTTCTAAAGCCACAATGCTCATCATCACCGTCGTCATCGTCATGATGATCATCATCACCGTCGTCATCATCAGGAAGACCATCGCTCCTAACATGAGGTGGTTCCTTACACGCATCCTTATATCACAGATGTTCACAGAGGCAGGTTCCGGCCATGGGGGTTTCCGGAACATTAGTTCTGTTCCGGCGTGCTGCGATCGAAGCCACACGCCCACGCGCTTCGCTGCGCGGACGCTTGGACTTCGACTCAGCGTCGGACGCCTTCCAATGAGCCACCGTGTTGACCTGCTGGTTTCTCGTGGCATTTTTCGGTAGCGCACGCGAACCCGTGCGACAAGATGCTACCAGAGCCTGTCGAAAACAGTGCTCGAGCACGCAGGCCAACTGCCGGACGCAGAAGTCGGACGCCACGTGGCGAGCAGCGAATGTGCTGGGAGCCGGCAAGCCGAAAGACTCCAGCACCAAGCGCAGCTCCGACGGCACCTGGCAACACAACATTGGCGCCTCGCACAGGAAATGCGGAGTCATGCCCGCTCTGGTGCAAGTAACAGCAGACAGCAAACAAGAACAACAACAAGGCGTCCAGGAACATGGTTTCACAGAAATCCCGCGGCTTCTTGTCAATTCTAGAGTCCGAATGCCTTTCATGGTGGTGAACGTGGTTTCCCTGATTCCGGGTTCAGGCTTAACTGCTTTAGGGGGTTTGGGGGTTTCGGGGGTTTTCCCCTTACCCTTAGAGACCCTTCCCGAGGATTCAATTATTTGGCGTGTAGGGTTTAGTGCTTGGGTCAAGGTTCAAGGTCTACGGTCGCCGTCGAGGGTGTTAAGGCTGAGGCTTTATGCTTTGGGCTTAGGGCTCAGAGTTCGGGGTTTGGTTGAGGGGTTTCCGATTCGAGGTCCTGCCCCTATTACAAGTCCGCCATGTCTGCCCTGGTTTCCTCAATGGAAGTTCCTGTTACGGTGGGCTAGCGTCTAGCCCCAAGACCGCACCTTTAGGCACGGTCAGCTGTGGCTTCCAACTCTTGGCGCTCTCCAGCGACTGGCCTTAGGCCAAGCAAAGCCTAACAGGGCCAAAAGAGGGCCAAGAAGAGGGGCGCCCCCTCCCCAGGTTCTTGCGAGTTTGGTGGGTGCTTTTGAGGCCCCGGCAGCTTCGCGAGGTCCGCAGCGTGCGTGAGAAGAAGTCGCCCTGCAAGCGGGGTTGTCAATACTTTGCTCGTCATGGTGCTGGGGTGATGGCGATGCCTGTCCTGGCGTGTGTTTCACTGATCTGCTCTCGCAGGACGAGTTGTAATACGAGAAACATCCCAGCAGCACGGACCGTGCACTAGCCGCGAAAAGGCTCCGAACCTGAAGATGAACAAGGCGCTGACACATTCCATCTACATCCAACACACGAGACGAGTTATTCAGCCCTGAAGGTCAAGAAGCCACGTGTTACGGGGCGTCTTTCGCATGCTCCACCTCGCTGGAAGCAAAATCTTGCAAGAGGAATCTCCTTGTGGATCCTCACCAGGTATGGCTCCGCTTTACACGCTGCTCCAGAAGGCTAGGACCGAGAACACAGAAGCCAGCTCAACTCCCGAATCCGACGGCTGAGTCTCGTAATTTCCCACAATGTCCCAGACTTGCGTCGTGCGATGAGTGCGAACATGCGAAGTTCTTACACCGCTGTACTGGTGCATGGCAGCCAGTGCTGACCTTAGCTGTAGGGTTACAAGTACCCTAAATAAGGTTATAGCCAATGATAAGAATAATGGCCCTGCTTTGATGACTCATTCTCACACGACTTCGCAGCTGACTTCTGTGCGAAACCATGCTGGCACTGTGCTCGGTCACTCTGTTCTACATACATGCTAAGCTGCTAGTCACTGCTAGTCTATACAAATTCGCGAGTCCCGCGACTCAGCATGGACTGAAGCAGGGCACGCGCACGCGCAGAAGGTTGGCCGGTTGGCGAAGTATTGCGGCAAGCCACTCTCCTCGAGCAATCTGCCGGCTGACGTGCCCCAAGCTCCAACTTAGCCGAGCACTCGCAACGCTGGACAAGCGTCTTGGCAACAGATTTGCAGGAGTATTGATGCTGCCACATCTCCCGAACCAGTGCTGTGCAGAAATGCATCGGAGACGTTCAAACACACTCAAAGCGATATTTGGTGCAACGTGCACATGTTCGGGCTCCGGATTTGGGCTGCGCATCTGCCAAGCTCACACTTCGGGAGCAGCAGGGGGCATTGTCACGCCGCGGCTGCTTGGGCAGTAGCCTGGTTTGTGCACACCGAACCGGGCTTTAAGTCAAAAGTAGACCTCCATGACCTGGCACGCAATGCAGAGGCTTCCGAATCTTGAGCCTAGTGCTTGACTTGTTCTAGGAACGATCCTGGATGTCGGCTCACTCGGTGCCCACGTCTGTCGTGTTTTCAGCTGAACTGTCAGATTTCCCGGCATCCGCCTTGCCATGGACAAGATTACTTCTCAACCTCCCAAACCCACGCGAACTCTGCCAAGCCTGTACTCTGAGCAAATTAAATTCCAGATTTTCTTCACTCAATCGTTCAGTCGAGGTGCGAGGCTGTGCATGCAGTTGGCAGGCCTACTTGGAGGGGAAGGGAGCCGGTTGCAGTACTTTGGGATGTTTTCATGCTCAGCTAAACAGACTGCCAGCTCCCCACCCCCTCCAAGCAGATACCCCGTCTGTCCATCAAGGACGCGCCATGCAAACGTGGCCATTTGGGCCACTAGGGCCTCAGCTCTTCGTGCGCGCGCGGAAGACGAGCGGAACGAGACTCCATCGAAAGTTCGTGGGCGAGGGCATGGCTACACCTAAGACCGATGTAGGGTTGACCCGGTTATATAACCCCACTTTTATCTACCCATGAACCTCCAAGAAGCAGTGGAGGGATTTGGCTGATGACTTCGGGTTGAGATGCCTGCGCGGGGAGTGCCGTGCACCTAAAACCGGCAGGACACCTCCAACCAGAACCAGAAACTCCGAAAAAACACATGCGCACTCCACGGGTGCGTGGGTGCGTGGGTGCGTGGGTGCGTGGCTGCGTGGGTGCGTGGGTGCGTGGGTGCGTGGGTGCGTGGGTGCGTGGGTGCGTGTGTACGTCCGTCCGTGTGTGCGTGCGTCCGTCCGTCCGTGCGCGCGTGCGTGCGTGCGTGTTGGTTGTGCGTGTGCACATTCTTCCCAACGCTTTCGAGCCCCAACGAGCAGCAAAGCAGGCCGAGGCGCTCCACGCTCTTAGCAGCCGCTTCCGCCCACCACCTCCAAGCCTGGGGAGGTTTAGCCGGGGGGGGGGGGGGGTGCCCCTTTCAACATGGTTAAGGGGTACATTCTCTGGTACCCCTCCATAACCCTTCCAGATAAAAAAACCGGACCCCCAAATGCTCTACTTACAAGAGCTTTGGGACGCAGGCGTTAAAAGTGTGATGCTCCAACAAGAGACTGCGTGCTCCAACAGGAGACTGCGCCCGATCATGCTTGACGTGCTTTGCGAGGCGGGTGGTGTCATGTGGAGCGCATGCAGCTGACCTAACCGGCGGCTAAAGATTTGCATGCCTGATTGCACATGCTCTGAGGGGCTTCGTGGATTCTTTCGGGCTGAGCCGTTCTCGTTCACTGCAGCATGCTGAGCACTCGGCAGGCAGTGGCAGGAATCATCGTCATGAAGTTGATCTGCGAGGCAGATGGCCAATCGCATGTTTATCCGCTGTGTCGCGGAATCAGACAAGTCGCACATAGCACGCATGCATGTCTTGCATCTGGACTCTCACCACAAGAGCACACACACATGAGATGCCTTCTCTATCTATGCTTGTATTTATGCTTCTGCTTCCATGTTCCGATATTTACCTGCAAATAATGATTGCCAGTCATGAAGCTCGGACAACCCCCAATCGGACGAAAGCGCACCGTTAACGCGTAGCTCATCGCAAACGCAAGGAGCACCACCGTAATCGCACCTTGTTCGTTGGAAGGGTGTGTGAGATGCGCTGACTGCAAGGCTTGAAGCGCAGTGCCAGAACAAGATCAGCTCCCCAAGACAAAACTCGACGAGCCGCCGTACACTGATCTGCTCTTCCACGCCTTTTTCCTGCGCGACCAGCGCGGCAAAGCTTTCGAGCCTAATTAGGACTCCGCCCTAGATCAAAAGATATCGAAAGCTTCAAGGCAAGTCAAACCAGGTGTAGCTAACGCACGGGCCTGGAGTGTCTTTGTCATGAAAGATGTGCCAGTTTTGCATTGTGGTTCTTGCGTGTAATCCCCGGAAGGTCCTCCTCTGAGCTTCCTCCTTCTGATCTGGAATGAGAACGAGCAAGCAGAAGGAGGCGAAGGAGAAGCCATAGCTTAACAGGAACCTTCACTTCAGGACGTCGCAGGGCCATCGAGCCGTTGCATGCAATAGATGCAGCTCAGAAGCGAGAGGGCCACCGTATTTCGGAACTCTGGCGTGTCTGACCTCGGGAATCCAGATTGCTTTGGCATCGCAGCTTCTCGAATCGAATAGTTTAGAAACCCTGTTTTCGTGTAGTCCTTCGATTCATACTCGGCGTGTCCATCATGTGACACCAGGGGTCTTTGACTAGAGCACATGTCTAACCAAAGGCGTCTGCTCTGCCATCTCACGGTAATGCCATGGCATTACGGCAAACGCGATCTTGGCACTTTCAGGTCACACATATCTGGGCATCTTAGAGCCTTTGCAGCCAAAGACACCGGTAGTTGGCGGAATCTGAGAGGTTTGGGCGGAAGAGCCCGAAAATCTGAGGGAAGCCACGGCTCAAGCAGCTCACAAAGGTGTGGGGGTTCCGGGTTATCCAGGACGAGAAGATCAAACCCTGTGCCCCGAAGGACAAAGTACACGGATGGCTATGGTTCAAGGGCCGAGGTTTGCCAGCTTGTGCACATTCCGGCGAGGTCCTTGAAGGCACCGTGGTCATGTCGCACATGTCCACTGTCCTCTTCTCTCCCCTTCCACGAGACCCTCAACCCTCAGACCCTAAACCCTCAACCCTCAACCCCAACCCTTCCCGGCCTGGTTTCCAATGGCCCTGGAGAATGGAGAACCAAGGTTCCTGGGCACGTTTACTTGATGAACGTATTATACATGTAGCACATATGTGTATATATGTATACACACACACCGACCCATAATATGTATGCCCATGTATGGATGTGTGTATACATATGTCTATATATACATAGAGATATATACACAGATATATATATATATATATAGATGGGTGTGGATACTGCACGATGCGGTCCTTAGGTAGAATGAGTCAGGAAAGACAAGGCAAACAACAGCGAAACGGCCTTTCAAGGTACTTGCAGCTCCTCGTGCCATTTGCTAGAGCATCTCACTGTCACGCGAGCAAGCCCGTTTGTTTCTTGAAGGGTCAACCGGCAATGTCACCTGACAGCCGAGGCGCGACACGGTGGTCAAGAGTCCATAGGTGAGGCCCTCCACACCCTTGCGGCTCTCACACGTTTTGGGCCCAAGCGTACCGCTAAGGTCCCATTGTTGGTTCAAGATGCGACGACCAGGAACTGAACTCAGAGGCCTAGTATGGCCAGTGTATGGCCCAGGTGACGTACCCCCTGCCTGATCTGCCAGCTCAACGACGATGAAGGTGCCGATGACCTGACTGCATGAAGGCATTAAGTGCAGAGCTGACAGCGTGTGGTCGCCTGCATCATGCAGCTCCAAAGGGCCGAAATCCCACAACCCCACTCGAGCCCCGAGCCTTCATACTTTCTTGAAGACCCCAAAGTCCCAGAGTCTCTTGTGACGGACTTTGGACTTTCGAGCGCTTTCGACTGCTTTCGAGGGTCGAAGTTGGCCGCCGCCGGGATGTCATCAAGGATCTGCTCGCCCAGGTAGAAGTACTGGTTGCGCACCTCGGTTCCAGGTTCTTGTGGGCTTCGGGCTCCCTTTACCTGCGGCTTTTTTGCAGGTTTACGACAAGTTGCTTCTGGGGATGATATGGGGTTTACGAAAATAGGGGACCCCTCATGTAGAACCCCAAGTAGTAGGACCCCCTTTTCAAAAAAGGACCCCACAAGGTCCCCCTGATATCGGAGTTGGATCCAAACTTCTTTTGCAGGAGACCCTAAACCCTAAACCCTCAACCCTAAACTGCCACTACTCGATGGCCAAGGTCACGATGTCGTAGGTGGTCAGGAAAGCCAACGTGCCCTGGGCCACAGCTTTCTGGGGTTCCTAGGGTTCAGGGCTTAGGGTTGAGGCCAGGTGTTGGAACTCTCTGTTCAAGGCGGTTTGGCTGGAAATGGGGTAAGCAAGGCAAGCAGCAAGTGCACATCCTACACCTTCTAGGTGAGACAACTACCTCAGCACTCAACACTTCGAGTTGAAGCTTCACACGCCAGACATCTTGCTGGGGGCCGTTGCAGAGGGTTCTAGAAAAAAAGACGTCCGGCCACACGGCGCTGTGCGTGGAGCAAGTGTTGGGGCACAGCTTCCGACTGCGCAGCTTGGTAGGAGCAGCCAGCACACTTGGGAACCCCCAGCCAGGGGTTCACACCACGTAGGGAAGCCGGCGCAAGAGAACCTCCCTTCTTCCCCTCGCCTTCAACCCTAAAAAGCCTGGCGGAGTATACGTTCTGTTGCAGAGGTTTGGGGTAACTTTGAGTCCAGCGGGCATCCATCACGTTCAGGAAGATGCCTGTTCCCAGAAGCATCTTGCGCCAGCCTCGGCTGCCAGGATGCCCTGAGGGTTTAGGGTTTAGGGTTTCGGGACTCGGGTTTAAGGTTGAGGGTTTAGGGATGCACCTAATCTCCCAAATTGCAGAGGCGCAGCATTCCCCACCCAGCATTCCTTCACCGGAGCCCTACAAACCCAAACTTCGCAAGGCAGCTCAGCCCTGCTTCCTCCTCAGCATCAAAAGCTCATGCCGCAAAGGCGCTGCAGTGAAGAAAGCGCTTCCTCGACTTTCGAAGCTGTCATGAAGAGAATGCCATGGTTTTGCTACAGCTACCTCAAAGCCCTCATGCTCTGCTGATTTCGGAGCTTTGGGCAACGGTCCACCCTGCAGAGCCTGCGATCGGCCCCAAGATCCCTTCTTCAAAGCAGAGGCCCGCTCCCTCCACACACCCTCCGGCAATCTGGGCAGCAGGGTTCCTACACTGGCGGGTGATGAGTCTCGTGAGGCCCCCTTCACGCGTCTGCCAGGCGTCTTCACCATCTGGAGGCCATAGGAGAACACGAGCAGCGACACGAAGCTGAACATCCTAAGCCCACGAGGCGCTACGAGGCCTCCCGGGCTTCCCAAATGCATCGTCTACGAAGATAAGGGGGCCCCTCAGACCCCCAAATAGTAGGACTCCCTTATGATGAGGACCCAAAAAAGGTACCCCTATTCTCGGAAACCCCCACATAAGGTGAGTCATGGCCGCTAAGGTTGGGCAGTGTCGGACTGCGTTCTGCGCTCAAGTGCGAAGGGCACCTTGCTGTGGCAGGTGTGAAGGACTAAGGTCTGGCCAGGACTTCCCGACAAAGCCCGAAAACCCTAAATCCTAAACCCTAAACCCTAGCCCTAAACCCTAGACCCTAAACCCTTTTTGGCCCTGGAGTGCAACATGGATCTTCAGCGAGAGATTCTGGGCCTTACGTCCGGACCAGGCCACTGATTCTGAAAATTCTTGACGCCGGCCCACTCGCCTTGGCCCCAGCTTCGAAGCGAATGAAACTGTGGGGGGGGGGGGGGGGGGGGGGGCGGATGGGAACTAGGGCTTAGGTTTAAGGGTTAAGGGTTAAGGGTTTAGGATTTAGGATTTAGGATTTAGGGCTTAGGGTCTAGGGTTTTAGGGTTTAGAGGAGCCTTTGCATCCATTGGTTTAGGAGGTTAGCTAAGCGGCTTTTCACCAGCCCCGAGGCCGTTGTGTTGATGCGGCCGATCACCGCCTCCCAGAAGTTCCACATCACCTCGGGAAGCCCTTCTCTCAAACCCTAAACCCTAAACCCCAAACCCTAAACCCTTCTCTCAAACCCTTGAAGTCACAGGAACTGCAGCCTCCAGCCCAGAGCATGACGCAGGTGAGTGAGCCTTTCTTTGAGCCCCGTAGTAGACTGCAGCCGAGTTGCCACGATAAACACCGCCTCGGCTCCAGATGCTCAAAGCGCTTGGGCTCGGAGCCCCAAGAGAGACGGGAGCTTGGCAAAGGAACATGCCAGCCTCGAGAACTTTCAAATTTAAGAGTGACGCCGGGCTAGTCAAAAGCCGCGGTGCCTTGTGCGTCATCAGCGCCCATGCCTCTGAGTCGGGAGTCGCAAAGTCAACCGTGCACCCTCGTGCTTCATCCACTTGCTTCGGTCCGTTTCTGTTTTCACCCTGTAAAAGTCCGAGTTCTCCCCCACTGTGCCTGGCGCATGTACTGGCGGAGGGACCTGCGCTGGCCCTGCCAAGGAAAAGAAGAAGTGGGCGTGCAGAGCAAAGGGATACAAAGGGTGTTCAACGGATATTCGGCGCGACGCGCGGAGACTGTTAGAGTGAGGTGTGGAAGCGAGCCTCCTGGATGGCTCCGTCTTTGACAAGGAACCACCTTAGGGGGCAGAAGACGACCCCAAGTCTGGCTCTTTTTGTTTCTCCCACAAAGACTCCTTGTCATTCCGGTGGTAAGGCCGTGGAGCAGCCAGAAGGAGGCTATTCAGAGGCCTGAGGCTTGAACGACACCGGGATCATGAGACCTGCCGGGACGGCAAAGATCAGCATCACCTGCACGTTGCGCTTGTTCACAGCTGTTCCATGTCTTTCCAAAGCGAGATTCAAACATTTGAGGCGAATCAAGCTGATCATTTCACATGACTTAATACTTGACTTAATGGGACGGTGTACACCCGCATGGTCGTCCATTCTTCGCCACCAGCACTGAAGCAACGTCAGGGGGGCCGTTCAACAAACCCAAGCTCCGCTTGTCGAACGACACACTCCGGGCTGCGTGGCCACATGGCACGGATATGTGCAGTTAGCAGTGACGGTCGGGACAAGAAGCACACACAGAGGGCACCAACAAAAAAAAACACCCACACACACACACACACACACACACACACACACACACACACACACACACACACACACACACACACACACACACACACACACACACACACACACACACACACACACACACACACACACAACAAAGCAAAGGAGAGCCTGGTTGAAGCGAAGGGTGAAGTCAAAGGTGCCGTTGTACTCCTCCCCATTGGCCCATTGGAAGCTCAGTGAAGCCCCGAAAAGCCCCATCAACCCGCGCAAGAAACATAGCATGGCGCATGCGCAGAGGTGTGGGTTCAGCGTCCTTGCCGTTCATGCCGATGCCGACAATGACCGTGGAAACGATCGAGCCGAGTGTTCGGACCTAAGTTAGACGACCAGACAGTCCCTCACGTTTATGGGTCAGTGATGGCCCATGCAAGGCAGCATCCTACGGTAGCTCTTGCAAGCTCCTGTAGAGAGATCACCCATCACAAGACTCGGTGCTAGGTAGATGGTCGTCTGCGTCGTGCCACGCTTCTCCTGCAAGGAGAGGAGCCTCTAGACTGCCACAAATTTTGGGTTCAATATGGTAGAATATGGTATCATATGGTGTGATCTGGAAAAATGTGGTATCACATGGTGCCATAAGGCAGTATAGTCCATATCGGGTGTAATGGGCAACAGTTCAGGGCACGTAAGGCATTAAGTATCATCAAGTCTGGGTTGGGCGGCGTGTGGGCGTGGGCGCCTGCGGCTCCCGCTGCGCAAACTCTACCATGAGGCCATCGGCAGCAACATCTGCGATGACCTGAGATGCAAAGGTGATCTTGCACTGTGCCTGTCGAGCACAACACACGCTGGACATCCGGGGACCCTCATCCACAACCCCTCTCGACCGAATCCACAAGCAGAAAGTAGGGGCATGCTGCGCCCTTTCACCACTTTGCCCTTCTCCTGGCTGCTTCGCCCTCCCCTCTGAGACCAGCCTCTTCAAGGCTGGCAACTGGAGCCAGGCTCTGGCTTGGGCTCTTTTAGGCCACAGGCTGAAAATCTTCCCCCTGATTGTCCACAGCACAGGTGACGGCACAGAAGAGCCTGTCGCCGAGTCCTGGATAAATCTTCTTCGAAAGCCGCACGTCTGTTACGGCGCGATCGGGAAGGGGTGAAAGAGCAATTCAAACGAATTCGGCCAGAGGATCTCTCTAGCAACTCTCTGGCATGGCATGTGTATCTGCGTCAAGGTATGCTTATCTATGCATCAAATAGAGTCAAATCTGGCGAGCCAGTCGAACGGTCGGAAAGTCCTAACTAAGGGGGCCTTCAGGGCGATTCCATCTTTTTTCACGCCCCGGTCAAAACCTTGTCAGCCGGCATCGTGCTCAGAACCACTGGACTCGAGGTCCCCTGCATCGCGCAGGTCCAGCTTCCTTAGGCGGCGGTGACTCTTGTGACTCAGGGGCCGTGGAACAATCTCTCTTTCCTTGCACAGGTCGGACGGATACGCACGGGATGCGCTGACTCCGCCCAGGCTCAGAGTGTTGATCTCCCCGAGCAGGCTTCGGCGCAGCTCCGACCTAGGAACACACTTGACAACGACAACAAAAAATCCCACACGAAACTTCCAGACTGCTGCCAGGATGTGGCTTCGCCCCATCGCAGCTAAGTCCCTGGCAGCTCCTTGGTGAAGGTGGTTTTGAGGATGCCTGGGCGCAAAGAGGCTGCCTCGCTTCGTGCCCTGCTTTCGCCCTCCACGGGTTCATCTTCTTCTGGGCCGAGAGGCGGATGGACCCCTTCACATCCTGCGGATCGGGATGCGAAGAAGCTGCACTGAGCCGGAACCACGGAACCACATGCTGGGTGCGGGGTCTGAGGATTCTGGCCAGGTCCTGCACTGTGGCCGGGTTCGTGCCCCGCAGGTTCAGCAAGGCATCCACCTTGTGGCTGCACAACCATGTGGCCACAAAGCTACACGGGACCTCTTCACGCAGCTCCTCATGTTGCACGACACTGGATGCCATGCATCCGACGCAACAGCCGAACGACATCCGATCAAGACGTGCTCCTACTCTGGAGCCTCAAAAGCAAGGCTGCCCCATAGACAAGCAGCAGCAACTCGACTTTGCATGGGGAAACCGGCAAACCCATGACATCCGCACCGAGGCGCTAGATCCTCGAAGTTCATCTGGCGGCCTCGCAGCATCGGTAGGCCCGGCAGGCCAGTGCAGGCAAAAGGGGGCCCTTAAGGGGCCTTAGGAACCAGGGGGTCGCATTAGTTGCTGTCACTGCAGGAAGACACCGTCTTCATTGGGCCTCCCTCCCACCTCGCCTTCCTTCTCCATGATGTCCTCATAGAAGGTATCCAGCATCTCCTCACGCTCCACTCTGCGAAAGCATGCGAGAGAGGCCCCCATCCCCAAGAAACGCAGCACACGGGAGCTGCTGCAAAACGCGCTCCACCATCACGATGCTGTCCACATCCAGCCCGTACCTTATGGGAAAGGGAAAAAACACAACGTTGAAACAATCCCGAGAGGGCATCCAGGGAGGCTTTCTGATGTTGTGTGATGCAGCCCTTTCGCAAGAAAGAGAAGTTCACCAACAAAAAGGGTCCCTCTCTGGTTGTTCTAAATTGGGATGTTCCCCCTTATACCAAGAGTCCTTAATAGGGCTTAACGGGGGGTACTATAGTCCCTACTGGAACGAACACAGAGAGCCCGAGGCATGCCGAGGGCACAAGAACTGGGCCACCTCCGCATCCAGCAGCAAGTCCGTGACCGTCTGCTTGGAGAGCGGGCCGTCCTTCAGCTCTCTCGCCATTTATTGAAGGGAGGGGGGGGTATCCCACAATAGGGGGTCATTATTTCAAAGGGGTCCCTAAAAGGGGGTACCCCTATTTTGGAAAAAGACCCTTTTTTATCTCCACTCAGCTACAACTGCAGAGGACTTTCTCGAAGGTCGGAAGGGATTGGGTTGTGGGGGGCACCCCCTTTGCCACATCCAAGGCGCTGGATCCATGCCCAACTTCATCATGACCTGTTCAGCTACCAGGTCAGCTCGGAGTCTTGGCAGGGGCTTCGGTGCTGAACCCTAAAACCCTAAAACCCTAAAACCCTAAAACCCTAAACCCCTAAAACCCTAAAACCCTAACACCCCGAAACCCTAAAACCCTAAAACCCTAAACTCCTAAACCCTTAAACTCCTAAACCCCTAAACCCCTAAAACCCTAACCCCCAACCCCTAAACCCCAAACCCTAAACCCTAACTAAACCCTAAACCCTAAACCCCCATTGTGTTGCACAAAAAGGGCGCCTGCCGGAGGGATTGGGCAATGAGGCTCACCTGCGCCATGGGAACGTCAGAGAAAGCTTTTCGGGGGGGGGGGGGAGGGGCCTAGGGTTGAGGGTTGAGGGTCTAGGGTTTAGGGTTTAGGGTTTGGGGTTTAGGGTTGAAGGTTGAGGGTTGAGGGTTGAGGGTTGAGGGTTTAGGGTAGAGGGGGTTTACGACTTCGGCGCTTCTCTTGTCCGAGGCACCGTGGAGCCCTCGCGCTCCGAGGCCGCCACGGAGTTCACCACGTTCACCTGGGGGATGGTGGGCCTAAACCTAGGGGATAGGATTAGGGGGATGTTTGGGGATATAGACCCTCTGAATAAGGTCCCCGTTTAAGAGAGCCAGAAGCGGGTTAAGAAGGGGTTCCCTTTTAAGGGTCCCCCTTATCCTACCTAGGAATAAACCCTGGTAACCTCGAGAACCCGAATAACCCCGAACCCTAAGAACCCCAATAAGCCTAAGAACCCCAAGAACCCTGATGGCCTAAGAACCCCTAATAACCACCAATGCCCCTAAGAACCCCAAAAATCTCTAGCGACCCTTGGTGGGTTAGAGGATGAAGCTTGGGGCGTCTCACCAGCCCGGGTCTTCTCCTGACGGAGGCTGGATGTTCAGGGGCAAGGGGCCATGACGCCGATCAGCATGTACATCATGGTCACCTCACGGCACGCAGTGCTGATGTTGCGCTTGCATTCCGAAGGAGCTGCGTTGAGTTTCGAGGCTCAACACATCCCAAAAAAGCCCACCAGTCCGAAATCCGGGGCACGGAGGTGATCAGGATGAAGAGAATCACAAAGGGCCAGAAGATCGGGTGCCAGGCTGCCAAGGAGTAGACGAAGGACGCCTCAGGAGAAGGGGAGGGCGGTATGCTGGCTTGGATGGTGGACCAATACGACTGCGTCATGGCTTGGGGAGGACGACGACCCTTCCACAGCGGTATGGCGTGCTCAAGGGCCACGCCTGAACCAAGTCAAGCTGCACTCTCAGCGAACATGCTCTTCAGCAGCAAGGTGTTCCTTGGTCGGATGTGATGATGGAAATTCTTCAGGACCCAAGCTTGCGGTTGTCAGCGCTGGCTGCAAAACCCTATCATCCGTGCACCTTTTCGTTCCGGAGCACGGTATCACCATGAACACTTCAGGCTCAAGGCTTGCGCAATACGGGGGTGTACGAAAATAGAGGTCATAAACAACCCAAAAAGTAGGATTCCCTGAAAATAAGGACCCCAATAAGGTACCCATGAATTTCGGAAAGCCCCATACACAGCTCATCCTGCAATTGATGCACATGGAGGTCGCCACGGTGGCGAAGTCCCCAATTAGAGAGGGATCTGCTGGCGTCTCCTGCACCTCACGAACCGGACCAGGAAGCAGCAGGGTCTAGGGCCTAGGGTTGAGGGTAGAGGGTTTCAGGTCCAGGGTCTTGGGTCTAGGGTTTAGGGTTTAGGGTTTTGCAAAGATCTCCCTCCTCGTAAAACCCAAGACCATGTGGCAATGCTCTGATGATGGTTTCATGGGCGTAAGGATGGGGTTAGTGGTTCAAAGGATTACGGATGTGTGCACCCCGCACCCATTGGGCGATTTAAATGTCATATCTTTATGCAGGCTCGATTTCTCATCTACAGATTCCAACGCTCTCATACACATGCACGACAAGCGGCCATATCTGTGATCTGCTTCATCAAGAGGGCGAAGACATACAGAACCATAACGCAGAAGGCTGCAATTACCTGGAAAGGTCTGCGAATCACCTTTGACTTGCTACAAGTGCCTAGCCCTATGCACAACAAACACCAAGCACTCGCAGCGTGGTGACCCCAGCTCGTCAACACCACCTCTCAGACTCCAAAGTGGATGATGAGAGCTCTTTAAAATCTGTGGGTGGGGGGAGATGGGGGAGGGGGTTAGGGTTCATGGTTCAGGGATCAGGGATTCGGGTTTAGGGTCAAGGGTCCGCCGAAGCTGGCGGCGTGAAAGGAGGTTTTCACCCTCTTTCCCCCAAAACGCGGGGGGGGTAGGGGGGGGTACCCGGGCAGCTTTTCCATGGAGGGCCAGGCGCATAAACTCACGGACCATAGGCGGTTTCGCACAGGACATAGGGGTCCTTTGGGAAAAAACCCACCCCCTCTACCCTTTACCCCCCCCCCCCCTACCCCCCTACCCCCCCTACCCCCCCACCCCCCCCACCCCCCCCCCCCCCCCCCCCCCCCCCGCCCCCCAATGGTTGTTGGGCTTGAACTGATGGGGCTGCCCTGCTTCAGCTCCTGTTTGGGTCCTGGTGCTACCCCCTACCCCCCCCCCCCAACGTTTCACAGAGGCTCAAGCAAATCAACTTTTGGCATCCTTTGAGCTGACGAGCGCGTTTAAACCTGGAGGCTCTTAAATTTGGGGTGTAAGGGCGGGGGGTTGTTGTCGCGAGAGTCATGTCAAAGGAGCCCCAAACGAACGCGGATCTATTTTCGTGGCAACACCCCCCCCCACCCCCCTTTTACCCGAAACCCTGAACCCTAAGCCCAACCCTAAACCCTAAACCCCAAACCCCAAACCCTCAACCCTCAACCCTCAACCCTCAACCCTCAACCCTCAACCCGCAACCCTCAACCCTCAACCCTCAACCCCAAACCCAAAATCCCTAAACCCCCCTTGTGAGTTCGGCTCCAGCTGCTAAGAGCGAGCGGCCAGCAGCACCGATTGCCTTGGCCACCTGAGACGGCAAAGAAAGGGCTTTGATGGGCTAAGGGTCTTTCGGATTTAACCCCTAAACCCTAAACCCTAAACCCTAAACCCTCAACCCTAAACCCTAAACCCTAAACCCTAAATCCCCAATGACCGCCCGGGCTGCGATGCCCAGCTCTGGGATGGAGCGGAGGAGCTTGGCCATGCGCGTGAGGCGGAGGATCTTGACCATGCCTTTTAGTTTTCTGGGTCTCCGGTTTAGGGTTTAGGGTTTAGGGTTTAGGGTTTAGGGTTTAGGGTTTAGGGTTTAGGGTTTAGGGTTTAGGGTTTAGGGTTTGGGGTTAGGGTTTAGGGTTTGGCGGTTTACTGAACTTCAGGGATCTTTGGGGTGCTCCAAGCTTCGGGGTACTTGTGAGTATTTGGGGGCATTCAGGGCTTGCCTCCTGAGATTCTGGGTTTCCAGTGGCCAAATAAGGAAAAGCGTATTTCAGGGGGGTCGCGGGGCGTCCACAGTTCAAGGTTTAGCTTTCGGGTTGTTCAGGGCTTAGGGTTTAGAGTTTAGAGTTTAGGGTCTTGGAGGTTTAGGGTTTAGGGTTTAGGGGTTTAGGGGTTAAGGGGTTTAGGGGTTTAAGGGTTTAGGGGTTTAGGGGTTTAGGGGTTTAGGGGTTTAGGGGTTTAGGGGTTTAGGAGTTTAGGGGTTTAGGTTAGGGGTTTAGGGGTTTTTATGGGTTTAGGGGTTTAGGGTTTAGGTTTAGGGGTTTAGGGGGTTAGGGGGTTAGGGGGTTAGGGGGTTAGGGGGTTAGGGGGTTAGGGGGTTAGGGGTTTAGGGGTTTAGGGGTTTAGGGGTTTAGGGGTTTAGGGGTTTAGGGGTTTAGGGGTTTAGGGGTTTAGGGGTTTAGGGGTTAGGGTTCAGGGTTTAGGGTTTAGGGCTTAGGGTTTAGGGTTTACTGTGATAGGGCGTAGATGCTGTGAAGGTTAGGTTTCGGAACAAGCTCGAAAGCTTCGTGAGGTGCGAAGAGCAGCTTTGGCCTGATTGTGGAGGGCCATCTATTTTTTTTCTCCCACCCCACGCCGTCCAAGGCGGCAAACTTTGCCACCCAAACCTATTCCTTTTAGGGTTTAGTCCTAAACTCAGACAACAGCCCACTTCTAAAAACTAATTCAGTTCTCGAAGCGCGGGGTGGGGCCAGGCACCCGGTCCGGGATCCCCTAGGCTGGGGGGCCAAGGCCGGGCGAGGAGAACGTGCTCCGGTGCCGGGCCCATCGTGGGTGCTACCGACCTCCGAGCTGTGGGAGGCGGGCGAACGACCTGGCTCGGCTTGCGCCATTGAGGTCGAGGGCTTCGGCGCCGCCCCCCAACTGTAGGGGGGCGGCCTAGGCCTTGAGTTTAGGGTTTAGGGTTTAGGGTTAGCGTTTAGCGTTTAGCGTTTAGCGTCTAGCGTCTAGCGTCTAGCGTCTAGCGTCTAGCGTCTAGCGTCTAGCGTCTAGCGTCTAGCGTTTAGCGTTTAGCGTTTAGCGTTTAGCGTTTAGCGTTTAGCGTTTAGCGTTTAGCGTTTAGCGTTTAAGGTTCAGGGTTTAGGGTTTAAAGTTTAGGGTTAAGGGTTTGGGGTTTTTAGGGTTTAGGGCACTTTCTCGCCAGACATCACCTCCGCTGTGTGCGCCAAAGGGGCGGATGATGCGCAGGACGTTCGCACTGAACAGTGCTTCCTGAGGCTTCGGGTGTACTCCGCAAACACCTGCTAACCCTTAAACCCTTAAACCCCTCAAACCCTTAAACCCTTAAGCCCTTAAACCCTTAAAGGGTTTAACCCTTAAACCCTTTAACCCTCTTAAACCCTTTAAACCCTTAACCCCTTTAAACCCTTAAACCCTTAAACCCTTCAACCGTTAAACCCTTAAACCCCAGCCCCAAGTTGATACCCAATAAAACCCAGGGCTTAAGTAGCATTCGAGCGGCTGTCTCTCCAAAGCCACTGACGACCAGTACCAGGGACAGGATCCACCTGTGCACTTCCCAAAATAGGGTTTAGGGTTTAGGGTACCCTCGTTTGTATCCCAAGTAGAAGAGAAATACCCCTCAAAGGGACTCCCCCCCCCCCCCCCCAAAAAAAAAAAGAGCACCCCCTTCTCGGAAGCCCCCACCTCTGGAACAAAAAAAAGGAGACCAGCCAAGGGCTGAAAGGGAAGCAGGGTTTAGGCCCTAAGGGCTTTGGGTTTGGGATGTATAGGCTTCAGGGTGTAGGAGAGGACTCACAGGGAAGTGAGGGTTCAGGGTTTTTGTGGCTGAGGGTTTGGGGTGTAGGGCTGGAAGGTCCAGGAACGACTTATGTTCTCGCCAGGAGTCGTCTCGGCAACCATGTAGAGGCTCAGACAGAAGTCGAAGACGAACCAAAAGTCACGAAAGCAGTCGCACTTGTATTCCTCGAAGCAAGCAAGGGCGAGATCTGGCTATGTGGATGCAGCCCTGGCAAGCTTTGACAAGCGTGGCAAGTGCCCATGTCGTGAAGTGTTTGGAAGACCGTGCACTGAAGCATATGCACATGGTTCGCACTCGGACGACTCCGCCTCCGCATCTAGGCCTCTAGGCTCGGCCCATACCCGCACAGAATGAAATCCAGGCCGGACGGCAAAAGCCAGGAACCGAATCGTGATCTCGATGAAGAAGTAGGCGCAAAACAGATGCTCCGCCACCTGTGATGTCATGAGTGCTTGGAAAATCACATTGATACTGTTCTGTAGCACCGCGCAGAGAAGAAACCAGCACTCTGTTCCGCAGAAGCCAACATGGTAACATCCCACGCAGCGATAGAAAGATGCAGAGGTTCTTCGTGCTCACCGGAATAACTATGAGTGAGTTGTTTGCTATACGTACACAGGCACACACGGGGCATGGAACATTTTGCTTGTCGTGGAGAGAGGATGGGATGCTGAAAGATTAGTGCTCACAGGAAATGGACAGCGCCGCTGACAGGCTGCAAGCGTACCTGAAAGGATGTCTGTGAGCTGAAATGTCAAAACTTGACATGGTTGTATAAGTACGTGCATACATGATCATGCTGGACCCTCTTTCGCGGGGGGAGGAGGGGTCCCCATAAGGACCCCGGACTATTCAGGATCTGGCCGAACCCTAAACCCTAAACCCTAAACCCTAAACCCTAAACCCTAAACCCTGAACCCTAAACAGGGGGGGGGGGCTCAGGCATGCCCAGGTCCTGGCCTGGAAGACGGCCGGAGCATCGATCAAGACGGCGGCAGGGTTGTTGTCCGTGTCGATGGCCATCCACAAGCAGTTGAGGATGATCACCACCTAAGGGTTTAGGGTTTAGGGTTTAGGGTTTAGGGTTTAGGGTTTAGGGTTTAGGGTTTAGGGTTTAGGGTTTAGGGTTTAGGGCTTAGGGCTTAGGGTTTAGGGTTTAGGGTTTAGGGTTTAGGGCTTAGGGCTTAGGGTTTAGGGTTTAGGGTTTAGGGTTTAGGGTTCTGGGTTTAGGGTTTAGCGTTTAGGGTCAAGCAGTCTTGAGCCGAGCAGGAAAGCAGAGGATCTTCGCAAGATATTTGTACTCGGCTCCTCCAGAGGCTCCATTTTTGCCTGCAGCATCCAAACCTTCCCTGGGACTCCCTGCAGAGCGGCAACCATCACCCCTAAACCCTACACCCTAAACCCTAAACCCTAAACCCTAAACCCTCAACCCTCAACCCTCAACCCTCAACCCTCAACCCTCAACCCTACACCCCACACCCTACACCCTTAACATCCCTTAACCCCTCAAAACTGTCGAACTTTATCGAAACTGTCGAACTTTATCGCAGGCGGGGCGGCCAACGTGCTGTTTTCGAAGACGGGATGCCTTGCGATCAGCTGGGCACACCTTACAGTTTCGACGTCTTGGAAGTGGTACATCTTGTGGCGCAAGACAAGAGCTCCGAAGAAACACATAAAGTGTTTGTCATGTTTTCTTGAAGCGCTTCGTGTTTCTCGCCGAGGTGCACTGCGCATGTCACATCGCAAATGACGACCCTCTCGGTGTTTGTTCGTGCCCGCTTGGCCTAGGCGCCTTGCGAATTCCACATCGCCAATGACGACCCTCGTGGTGCTTTCGCGTGCTCGTTTCGCTCTCGCCTATGCACATTTGCAACACGATGGCCTGCATGTCGGGTTTAGAAAGCGTTCAAATATGAGCTTGGAAGCAATTCTTCATGACGTGATGATGTTCCTTCCGTCCGTCCGTCCCTCCCTCCCTCTCTCCCTTCCTTCCCTCCCTCCCTCCTTCCCTCCTTCCTTCCCTGCGCTTCTGCGTACGAAACATTGCGAAAAGATCTTTCAAAATCATCAACAAAATGCCCGGACGCAGACAATTCCAACCACAAATCTGCTCTCAAACCCTGGCTGGGCAGCCTCTGACCGGGTCTCTTCGGGGGGGGCTCAGGCGTCTCAAAGTCTCCGAGTCGAGCGGCCCTTCGCTGCGGTAGTAGTCCTCGACAGGCATTTGGGGTTTCCGACATTCCGGGGTATACCTAATGTTTTGTAAAACACTAGTTTGGGGTCCTTACTCTAAGGATTCTGAGGGAATCCTACTACTACTTGGGGGTGTATTTGAGGGGGTCCCCTATTTTTGCAAACGCCGGTGCCCCACGATTGGCTCCTTGACTCCTCTTGCGGAGACACCCCACTGCGCTCTCGGTTCAGAATAGAATCTCCTTTCTACCCCGCCGGACCCGCGCCCCAAAGCATGAAGCCTCTTGTCCCTGGCATTCGCCACTCAAGTGCTCCAAGTGACATGGACATTGTAGGGCGCCTTGACAAGGGCCTGTCGCAGAGTCTTCCTCGGCACATAGCTTGGGCGCGTTGGGGGATGCCTCCGGACTGAGCCTGCTCACAGGAAGTAACGCTGAAGTGTGTCACCAGTACGTAGCAGTTCTAGGAATCAGCGCCACGAACTCCAAAATGCGAATGCACGTGTGCGGCGAAACCCCCAAGCAGCAACCAAGAATCTTCATCTCGGCCTCATCCGCGAAGACAGGCACGCCTGGTCCATGGTGTTTTTAAAGACAATGACATGACAAAAACGCACCGCGAACAAAATCCGCAGAGCTACCACCCCCCCCCCCCTCCCGCTTGCGCCTCCTTTGCCTTTCCCTGTCCGGAGCTCTTTGGCCTTCCAGAATTTCCAATAAGGCCGGGTCAGGAGGCACATATGGAAGCGTGCACAGAAGCTTCAACCTCTACAACTTCAGGGTTTAGGGGTTAGGGTTTAGGGTTTAGGGTTTAGGGTTTAGGGCTTAGGGCTTAGGGTTTAGGGTTTAGGGTTTAGGGTTTGTGGTTTCAAACTCTGTCAATCCCCGGCACCTGCCTGCGCCATGGACAGCCTCGAGGCCCGAGCGTGGTGCCGCGTGGCCCGGGTCCTCTTCCTCCTGTGTGCAGAGGCTTAGGAGTCAGATCTCTAAACCCTAAACCCTAAACCCTAAACCCTAAACCCTAAACCCTAAACCCTAAACCCTAAACCCTAAACCCTAAACCCCCATCTGCATCCCAAGGGCCCCGTCCTGGTCACCACTACTTCGGTTGCTTGCACTTCTGCTTCAGCGACCTGTGGGGGTCCAAGGCGCTTGGATTGGACTGGAAGGCAGTTTGCCTTCGCAAAGCTTCGGCTACTGGAACTTAGGTGCACAGTGAAGACCTCTGCGATACCGTGGCGGCATAGCAACTTAGATCCTACATTGAAGAGTCTCGCAGCATTCTCTCCCTTCAACGCTCTAACTCGGCTTGTCCCACACAGGCCTGCACCACTTCGCTTTGCACCTTCGCAGATAACCCAATCAAGTTCCCAGGATTTCGCTTACTTGTGTTAGAACATGGTCTGGCAATCTCTGGACCCCCCTCGATTCACAAACTGGAGCTGCTTGCTGCCCTGACCCTCCTCGTCTTGAAAGTGCGTTTCCTCTACGGGACTGGTTCGGAGAGAAGGGATCGTTCTGCCAGACCAAGTACTCCGATACTTGCACTCCAGAAACCCTGAACCACTACAGTTTGGGATGTTCTCCCTTATACTAACAGTCCTTATTAGGGATTATAGTACCCCCTACTAGAATCCCTCCTAAGGACTGTTATAATAAGGGGGGAACGTCCCAAACTACAGTCACTCTGCACCTGAACCACTGAGCCAAGCCAGGCCTCCGCATCTCGGCCAGGGGCCCTTCGCACCGCCTCCTCCTGAGCCCACATTGGGGGATCCGAAGTATGGGCCCCTAGTTTGGGTCCCCAGTTGTGTACCCCTGATATACACTATACATAATAAGGCCCCATACGTCGGATGCCTTGAAACAAGCGCAAGGGACCATATCAAGGGCCCATGCCTTAGACAAACAGGCCTCGCCAGCTCCTTTGGGGGGACCTTCGCTTCCTGAACTTGCACTCCCAGAAACTCCAAAAGGCTCTCCACAAGCTTTCTTCCGCAGGCTTCGGGGGACTCCAATTTGCTGGAGAAAGAGTCCGGCGCGCGACGCTTGGCCTCCGCTGCGAAGGCCTCTCTCGGCTGTTGTGACTTCGGGGATACCCCTGCACAAAAGGAGAAACGTTGCCCTCCTGCTGTGCTACGGTGCTGCTCTGAGACCTTTTAGGGGTTTGTTGTTGCAAGCCTTATGCAACCGCTGCCTACGAAGCAACATTGCGGCGAGCAGTCTGACGGGGCATCGTCGCGGTGGTTGGTGTGGACCGTGCTTGTTAGAAGCTATGGCTGCCGCGACCGCGCTTGTTAAGCTACAGCTTTCGTACTATCACAATCCACTGGGCCTGTCACTTGTGATGCCGCTGAAGAGTCTTTGTTCAGCTGCTGGGTAGCACGCTCGGACATATCCGAAACGACAAGAACTTGGTCAATGACAAAGGCAAGGGGCCACGGCATCACGTGTGCCAGCCTATCTACCCTGCAGGTCTGCCTCGAGCTTCGAGTTTAGGCCGGCAAACCCGGCAAGCTGGCTGTCGACCTCTTGCACGACAACACGAAAAGGTAACTGGGTGCCAAAGTCACTGCGCCGGCCTTCGCTGCAATCTCCGACACCACTTTGAACACTTCCGACTCCTTTCGCCAGAGTGCGCACAGGACCGAAAATGGCCCCTGCTGCTGCCACCTTATAGCCTTGTGGCGCCATATAGCGCAGCCAGGAGGGGCCCCACTGCAGAACACTGTTGACCACTAGTGTCTAGTGTCACTAGTGTCATTCCGTATTTCTCTGGTAGAATAGGGCCTCCGTGATCATTGCGATCCCCTCCATTCCGCTGTAGACCGGGTTCACACGGCACTGCAGTGAGACTCTGCCTTTGACGGTTGGGCTATGTTGGGCTCCTAGGAATCCCCATCCCCAAAAACAGTCTTGCAAAGCCGCATTGGCCAAAATTGCTCCATGCCAGAAAATGTCAGAGGCCTCAGTGGACTCCCCGGGCGCGAGCTGCAACGAACCTCAGCTCCGCGTCTCAAAGGGCATCGTGTAGCACATGGATAGCACATGGGCATCTGCCAGCTTGCGGATGGTTGCTTCCAAACCCACAGCCTTGAAAGGGGAGCTCAACTTTCAAACACTGCGCGCCTGCGACCGATTTAAACCGACAAAACTGCTGTCCAGCAAGCTGAAGTCGACGAGAACCGGCTGCTGCTTTGTGTGCTTCCAGAGCAGAGCGTCCACCTGCCGTGGTCCGAGTTTACGAGGGGGGAGGGGCGGGCAGGGGGCCATGTGCTCCTTGTGGCTGGACCCCCCCCCCCCCCCCCCCCCAAAAAAAAAAACAACAAAAACAGAGAAACAGCCGCATTGACGTACAGTATAGACTTGACCCGTGTTGGTGCCGGGCTCAGGGCTCCATGGAGGCTGACAGGCTTGGGGACAGATGGCCCTGGAAATATGTGTGTATGTATATATATATATATATATATATCTAAATTTATTTATTTGTCTATTTATTTGTTTGTGTATTTATTTATGTTTATATTTATATTTATATTTATATTTATATTTATATTTATATTTATATTTATATTTATATTTATATTTATATTTATATTTATATTTATATTTATATTTATATTTATATTTATACAGATATATTGAAATATGTAAATATACATATATATATATATACACATATATATATATATACAGATATATATATATATATATATATATATATATATATATAGTGATCCAGTATACCTTAAAATGCAGCTGCCACTTGCTCAGCAAGATGGGCCTTCTGCTCCAGCACGCTCTGAAGGTCATGGCCGGCCTCGTTCGCACGGCCCGATGTCGACCCAACACCACGCTTGGCTGTGCATTCCATGACATCACTCCGTGCCCACGAGGCCAAAACCCCACATAGCTATCTTGGCTCCTGCTACGCACCTGTCACGATACGGAGCATGCTAGACTAAGTTCGCAAGCGTTGTGGAAAAACAACGTGCCTGAAATCTAGCCGGAGTACTGTACCTGAAGCGAGCCTTGAGCACGAGGAACCAGGAGTCCAAAGAAGTCGGTGGAGAATGGGCTCTCAATGGCTCTAGGCTTTAGGGCTTCAGGACGGACGGTCTGGGCCTGCAAGACCTGCTGCAGGTCGTTGGCGGTGCTACCAGCACCTCAGGAGCACAGCACTTCAAGCCACGCACGCCAGGAGCTGAGGAACGGGGAGAGCAAACCCGAAGCCTTGACTGTTCAGCAAGGAGGGTTTAGGGTTTAGGGTTTAGGGTTTAGGGTTTAGGGTTTAGGGTTTAGGGTTTAGGGTTTAGGGTTTAGGGTCTGTTCAGCAGAGAGGGCCCCCCCATTCATGAACAAACCCCCTCTGCCCGGTCTGCAAGCGAAACTCCGTCCATGACTTGCGAATGGAGGCTGCGCAGCTGCGACAGGATGTCCTGGCTACGAGGAGGTGAGGGGGCCCTTATACTAATATAATAAGGGGTACTGTCATCCCTATTAAGGACTGCTAATATAAGGGGGGAAGATCCCAAAATTGAACCCTAAAAACCCTAAACGACTGGGCAACAAGCGGACGGGCTCCTGTGTGTGGGCCGACTCGTCCGCTGTCAGCTTATCGCTGATCTTACAGGCTCGCCTGGTCGTTTGCTGTAAGCCCTCCAGGCTCCAATGAACCCTCCCAACCCTGCACATACCCTTGACAACGAATTCGCGAGCCCAACACGTCAGAAGAAGACAATTTACGAAGTAATCTGTGGTGCTGCTCCCTCTCTCAGGGGAGACCAGATCGCTCCCTTGGCCTCTGCTGACTCTCGACCTCCTCCAGCTTGGACTCCACGGACGTGAACCGGGACTGGGGCCACGGGAAGCAACTTTCCGAGGTGCGGCTTTTAAAGTTATTACTTTAAAAAAAGAGAGAGAGAGAGAGAGAGAAAGAAAGAGAGAAAGAAAGAAAGAAAGAAAGAGAGAGAGAGAGAGAGGCCTCTTGCACTGCCTCCTTCCGCTACTTGAGGGCTCTTGGATCGTTCCCCACTTTGGCTCCGGCAGAGAGGTCGCCCTCCAGGCGGTTCGCCGTGGCGCCATAGGACCTTGTGGGCTGCACGGGAGCCACACACACACACACACACCCACGCACGCACGCACGCATGCGGACTGCGGAGTAGAAGTTCTTTGGCTCCAGGAGTGCGAATTCTGTTACAGACAGAGGGACACTATCCCCCTCCCCCTTCATATCAAACCCCCCTACCCGCAATGTCCCCGATATACTATATTGTAACTACAATGGGAGTACTTTATATTAGGGACTAGGGGGGCTTAAAATTAGGGGGGGAAGGGAATATCCTTCCACCATGGGCATAGCTAGCGGCGTTTTCGAAACGGAAGATCCAATTTTTCAGGGCCAAGAAAATCCTGCCACAAGAAGACCACGAGCAGGAATCTTACATACAGCGTTTGCCCTTGCTACTTTTCATCTACATGTACCAGCTTTCATGAATCCTTGAAGAGTTATCACAAACCCATCGTGAGCTTTCGCAGAATTGGGGGGGGCATAGTTGCTGCGAACGCAAGCTTAGACCTTGGAATTACACAGCGTCGTCCCTGTATAACCTGCGGTGGCTCATCATGGGACTCTTGCTGGGGTAGCTTCAAGCATGAATATGACCACCGGTAGGTCTGAAGACCTGCCCTTTCGCTACGAACCCCAAAGTATATGAAGACGGATCCCTCGTTAGGTGGCGAGATCAGAACTTCTCGGGGGGCCTTTGTGGATGATCTCGTAGGCCCCAACAAAAACCGGGTTTAGGGTTTAGGGTGTAGGGTTTAGGGTTTAGGGTTTAGGGTTTAGGGTTTAGGGTTTAGGGTTTAGGGCTTTCCTGGGGCGTCCGGCTCCAAGTATGGAACGACCTCCGCCTTGATGATGCGCTTGAGAGGGTCGTCCAACCTCCACTCAAAGAGGGCTGAGTATGCATGCCTCTCGCTCTCTCGCTCCATATGGGGCTCTCTGGCTCTTCCTTTCTTTGCGTAAGTGTGCGTGTCTTTCCTTTTGGTTACTTGGTTGCTTTTTGCTTTTTTGTTTTGTTGTCGCGTTCGCTATACATCTTTTGTTTATGTAGTTGTGTCTTCATTTCGTTCTCTATATCTTTATGTGGTTCTTTCTTTCCGTCTTCTTTAGTTCTTCTGTCTTGCTTGAGTTTATGCATTTATGTCTCTTGTTCTTTGTGAACTTCTTTAGTTATTGCATTCTCTAGGTCTTTAGTTGCTTGTGTGTGTGTGTGTTCGTTCTTTCTGCCGGTAGTTACTAATCTATTTCCGTATTCCCTCTTTATTTCCTGAATTCCTGGTTTCTTGGTTTCTCGGTTTCTCGGTTTCTTGGTTTCTTGGTTTCTTGGCTTCTTGGCTTCTGGGTTTCTGGGTTTCTGGGTTCTGGGTTTCTGGGTTTCTGGGTTTCTGGGTTTCTGGGTTTCTGGGTTTCTGCGTTTCTGGGCTTCTTGGCTTCTTGGCTTCTTGGCTTCTTGGCTTCTTGGCTTCTTGGCTTCTTGGCTTCTTGGCTTCTTGGCTTCTTGGTTTCTTGGTTCTTGGTTTCTTTATGTCTTCATTGCGTGAATGTGTGAAGGTGTGAAGGTGTGAAGGTGTGAGTGTGTGAATGCGTGAATCTGTGAATGTGGGAAGGCTTGAATGTGTCAACGTGTGAACGTGTTGGCGCTCCCTCTCCCCATATGCTCTCCCGCCCAAGGAGTGCCCGAGCCCAGCTGCGTCACCAGCCTGGACGGCAAGCGGTCCAAGGCCGCCGTAAGTGCAGCCACAGGCTGCACCACATCGTGCCTGGGGAATCTGGCAGCGGCCAAGAGGTCTAACCGAAATAGCTTGTTCAGAAAGGGGCTGCTGCAAAGGCACCATCCAGGTATGTCTTCGTCATCGTGGTTTAGGGGCTGTCTGTGTGCTTTCAAGAAACTTGATCTGCGCCCGCTCCAGCTCGAACTCCCTGCGCACCGTGCTGCACAGCTCGGCGCCTCACGCTTCGGCCCAAGCCATCTCAATCAAATCTGCGGCTCAAAGCCCTAAATCGAAACCCCCACCAGACCTTAAACCTTCGGCTGACCTACTCCGCCCATGTGCAGGCTCTGCATCAGCTTGAAAAAGCCAGTTGAGGCGAGCGGCACAGGGTGCGAGCGTTCTTCGTGAAGGCTTGATCACACACCCACAGAAGATCCTCAAGAAAAAGGCATGCACATCGCAGAGTTCTCAGACCTACTATACGGCACATCCGACCGGGTTACAAAACTCAGCTCCAGCAGGAAGGGTGTTTATGGATGCTCCCAGTTCCGAAGTATGGCCGCTCCCCCCGTAAACCCCCCCAACTTGGATCAACAAATCCAGGTCTGATGGCAGTCCTTTATCGACATGTTGTCGACGACTCCCCAACGCTTCTCTCCGCCTCACACCAAATGTCACTGCCTTCTGCTGCCCACACTGCAGTATCTTCAACTCCAAACCTAGACAGAGGAAACAACATAACGCTTTGCTTCCTTTGAGGGAACAGAGGCCCGCAGTTCTGACTTTACCCCAAGATAAGCCGTCTGCGAATTTGTACCCTCTATGAATATGTATATACATACACATATATGTACATATATATATGATATGTATTATGTGTTCGTATGTCTATACAGATATATATATGTCGTGTATGTATTTAATTCATTTACCTGCTGAACGCCAGCGATCCCAACACAACAGCCTGGCGAGCCCCGCGGCGTGCGGCCGCTCTTCGGCCGCGGCGTGGAGAAGGTGTCCTCCAGGTTGAAAGGGATTAGGTTTTATGGTACAGGGTCTGGCTCCAGGTTGAAAGGGATTAGGTTTTAGGGTATAGGGTCTGGGGTTAAGGTTTTAGGGTTTAGGTTTGGGGTTTAGGGTTTGGGGTTTAGGGTTTAGGGTTTAGCGTTTAGGGTTTAGGGTTTAGCGTTTAGCGTTTAGGGTTTAGGGTTTAGGGTTTAGGGTTTAGGGTTTAGGGTTTAGGGTTAGGGTTTAGGGTTTAGGGTTTAGGGTTTAGGGTTTAGGGTTTAGGGTTTAGGGTTTAGGGTTTAGGGTTTAGGGTTTAGGGTTTAGGGTTTAGGGTTTAGGGTTTAGGGTTTAGGGTTTAGGGTTTAGGCACTGCATGGCTTTGCAGATTCGCTTTGACTTTCGGCCGACAGGTGTGTGGAACAAGCAGACCAAGAGCTCCCCTTGGAGGTTCATGGTACTTAGTAACCCAATCATAACTGCACTTATGGCCCACTTGTAAGCCCCTTAAGTGCCCTAATCTGGTTATGACTGGGTTATTAAGTACTACTGAGTACCATGAACCTCCCTCTCATCCCTTCTCCCGATTCCCGCGCGGGGATCTGCATCACATGGGGGGGCCAGCCTGTGGGTGGCTCCAGCAGCAGGAAACCTCCAACCCTGATCCCTCTTTGTGCGCTTGGCGCCTCGGACTCCGGCGAAAGCCTGGAACTTCTTTTTGAAACCCTTCTAGGACCGCCCTCCGCGACTTCTCCCAACTCCCTTTCGGTGAGTGCTGTTTCTTCCATTTCGGGCATCCTGTCGGGTGGGCGGAGGTGGGGAAAAACCCTCGAATGACTTCTTGGCAGCTTACCCAAGATCACTGGGCAACAGGCACAGACAGCAAGGCAACCAAGGCAACAAGGTTTCGGGGGGTCTTCCAGCAAGCCTGTACGTCCCCCAAGCTCATGCACACTGCCGGTTCAAGGTTTCGGATATAGGTAGGCGACGGTAGGCTTCTCTCCAGCACCTTTTTCCTCGACCCGCGGTCGCTTTCAGTACCTGCAACCCGACCGTGCAGACCGGAAACTCCGAGGTGCGCTGCTTGGACCGCCGACGTGCCCGTCCTGGGTCGTGCCCAAGTGTAACAATGAAGACTGCGTGCAGAATGCTTTATTCTAAGGTGTTGGCCAGCGGGGTTGAAGCGGTTCCTGCTGCCTTTTCAAAATGTTGCTGGGATGGTGAGTGGGAGATGCCCCCGAAGATCACCGGCCTCGCGGACACCATTGAAGGACCTCGGAGATGAGGAAGGGGGCTTCAAGGAGCGCGAGTACAAGAATTCGGCTGGGCTTCCTGTCGGTTCCTGGGACTTTCCCACAACGGAGCCCCCCCTGAACCCACAAACTCCTCAAACCCTTAGGGCCCGTGTTTTCGTGCACAACTTGGGCTCCGAGCTCCGCGTTGATCTTCGAGTAGTCCGGGAAGCTCGTGAAGGGGGGGGCTGCCACCTCCTGGGGTTGCAACGCTCTGTAGCCCACGCCCACACCCAGCCCAGGCTGCTGGGCGCCAGAAGGGGTTCCATGAAAACTTCAAAAGTTCCGGTGGCTGCAGAGACCCCTAGAACCCCAACACTGGAACCCACAAAAGCAAGATATCTGAAGCTCAAGAGGGGGCCTAAGAGCATCGGGCCACACACACCTCACGACCTGGGGGATGGGCCAGGTTGAGGCGGACTGGGGACTGGAAAGGCCTGCAGCAACTCTTCTTCTGTCCAACACACGCGCGCTCTTCGGATTCCAGCTCTTTCCACGCTCTAAATTCTAGATGCCATCCGCCGGATCTCAAGACAAGCCTTGCGAATTAGGGTTTTTAGGGTTTAGGGCTTTAGGGTCTTTAGGGTTTATGGTTTTAGGGTTTTGGGGTTTAGGGTTTTCGGGCGATTTTGGGACAGAGGGCTTCATCCAAGATTAGCCAAGGCTCCGAAGGCTTCATGTGCGACATCCGACGTGCCAGGAATGCCCTACGAGCACTGCTCCTCGCTACTGCCCTTCCTCCAATATGATGAAACCCCCCAAGATAAGGATCTTATCAGCGATGTTAGGGGACAGCTTTGCTTTTGTTTTGCTTTTGTTTCCATGTTGGGAAGGTGAGGAACCAGGCAATCAAGAAAACATTGCCATTCCTTAAGGTGGCTGCCACCTGGTTCCCTAAAGTTGATGACCCTCGATTCTGACTGCTTCTGCCTGCAAACTCATGCTCTTAACTTCAAACCCTCCTTTGGGGCTTGCAAAATGGCGTCTGGCAGCGTGCATCAAGCTCCACACACACACATACAGATACACCGCGACACGCCGCGTGCGTGCGCGCGCGTGCCAACTGCCTCGCAACTGCGATGTGGCCATGTTGCGACTGGCTGCCAAAGACGGAACTGAGCAGCTGCTGAACGCATTGGAGCTCTGCACCCACGAATACTAGGAACACCAGGGCCATACAATGAGGCCCTCTTGACACTTCGGAACCTTGAATGAATACTCCCTACTTTTCTGCAGTTTGGGCTTGAGATTCCTATAGTACTCGTACCCACTCGTACCTCAGCCCCCGCACCGCAACCAAACAGCCCCAATTTAGTTGCACGAGACATTCTTGCGACCGCAGAAGCATAGCCCAAAGCTGCCAGGCACCTTGGAACTGTCGAAAAAGGACATTGGGCTTTTGGGGCTTGGGTTTGGGGTCTTGGGTCTAACTTCCGGGCGGCCCAAACTGGGCGCACTGAATCAAACGTATTATCCATGACGAAGGACATGAGGCAGGCGAACTCGCCGCCAGCCCACTTCGCCTCTCGGCTTTCATGTCGGAAGCTTCTGGGAGGATTCAAAACTAAGGAGCCTGTTTAGCTTGACAGTCCGTAGAGGCGCAATCGGGCTACGATGGTCTAAAATCAGGGCGCCTCTGCATTGCAGATCTGGTCCTGCGACAGGAAAGCCAGTCGACAACGAATCACCACACCCAAAGCTAGCCTCAGCACACCATGCGAAGCCCAATTTGCCACCTGATTTCTCCGGTCCTTGTCCAAGCTGCCGTCTGGTGAGATGCAGAAGTACGGCTGGGGAAGTGGCTTTGTACCGAGGACCTGGAGTCTGAAAGACCGACGGCCACAGAACTCGGGGGCTTTAACGGCAGTGTTCGGGTTCTTGTAGGCTCTTGCCACTCCAAGCAGCTGCACACTTTGGCTGGGCACCGCACCAGCAGCGTCAGAAAGCAGAGGGTCCAGCCTCGGATCGCCCGAACACCGTCTTCGTCTCATGGCGCCACGAGAAGCCGACTTCTTAGTGGAAGTTACATCATCCGCAACCCCCCGGTGCTTGCAAGGGGCCCAGGACCATGTACGGCTTCCGCCGATACCCCAGGATCCTTAGACATGGAGACGACCGGGCAGCAACCCACGCCAATGAAACGCAGGGTGTAGCGAGGAGAATGGACATGAAGGAGGAATCGGCTCGGTATGCATGCTGGACCAGAACTGCTCAAAAAACCCTTCAACAAAGTGATCGCTGTGCCAGCCATGCAGCGGGAAACAGTCGTTGATGAAGCCTTGGTATGGGATCAAAATTATCCAAGTGGTGGGTCTGCGCAGCCAGGGGGGGGGGGGGCATGGGGGGTACACATGGCCTGAGGCCTTCCCAACCGCAGGCCATGAACTGTGCATACACAGGCTAAGTCCAGGGACCGAAGAAGAGCTTAAAGCTCCATGGCATGGTGGTGACGACCTTGGGACAGTCGACAGGTCCGCTGCCATGAGAGATGTTCCTACGGACGGCTGCGGCGACCTGCGCATTCTTGCGAGCACTCGTCCTGCCAATCTTGCCCGTGTCGCCACGACTTTGCCGCCAGCCCCCTAAACTCGAAGCCTGCAGATCACCTCCCCCCTGTACTCCATCCTTGCTCTGAGAATGTCGATCTCTAAGGACCGGGCCGATGCCGTGGCGTAGACATATCCTGGGACGTTCAAAAAGCCTCGGCCGAAAGTGGCGTCTCAGATGCATCTCATGAGTTTGGAGCCGGTGCGGGGGGGGGGGGGGGACTACTCCGAAACCGGCCAGCAAGCTCGGAAGTTCCATACTTACAACCATGCAGAGTCCAGATGAGCTCAGGAGTACAGCGGAAAAACCTGCAAACACACACACACACACACACACACACACACACACACATATATATATATATATATATATGCATGTATGTATGTATATGTGTGTGTATGTGTGTATGTGTGTGTGTGTAAGTATGTATGTATGTATGTACGTACGTACGTATGTACGTATGTATGTATCTATGTGTATGTACGTATGTGTGTATCAAAATTCTCCGTTTACCAGAGCCGGGCTTCCCAGGAAGAAGCCGTAGATCGTGGCTGGCAGCCCACCGTAGATGATGCCCACGGCAAAATACCTCAGCAACTCTCAAGGGGGCTTCTTTCCTGGCTTTGAGGGATTTTTGGATTTTAAAAGGGCTCTTTCGGGTGCGGTTCTCGCGCCGGTCTTCCAGCCCCGGTGCTGCAGCAGGAAGCCGATGTTGCGGAACTCGTAGAGGTTCACCTGCTGTAGAGAGCAGCGTCGATGAAGGAGAAAAGTAGATTCTAAAAAAG